TAAGACACATCAGCACACAAGGGGTGACAGCCATGTGACAGTGATGAAGAGAAGACGCGCTGTGTCTATGAGCCGTGGAAGGCCAAGGAGCCGGCCGCCAATGTGCTTTAGTTTGGCTCTTGAATGTCCCCTGAGACATTTAGGCCCTGTGACCAAACACCTGAAAAAACAACTGAGGGGAGGAAGGACTGATTTTGCTAATTTTGGCTCACGGTTTCAAAGGTCTTATCCTCTGGCTGGGTCCCGAGGGAGGCAGACATCAGGCTACAGGGGTGTGGGAAGGGGATCTGCTCACCTCTTGGCAATCAGGAAGCAGAGAAAGAAATAGGCAGAGAGGAAGGAGCTAGGGACCAGAGAATGTCCCCAAGACCACATGTCCTAGCCCACTACCTTCAGTTCCTCCATCTCCCAGTGGTGGCATCAAATTATGACCTCACCAATGGAATGGCTCTATGCTCTGAGAAAGTCCCTACACCCTAGTCTTCTCTCTAGGCCCACCTCTGTGGGGATCCAGCCCTTGATACACGAGTCTCTGGAGGACACTTCATTCATATCTAAACTGTATCCATGTGTTAAAGACTTGGTCCTCAACCAAATATAGTGGTACACACCTGTAATCCTAGCGCCAAGGAGGCTGAGGCAAGAGGATCACTGCTAGTTCAAAGTTACATAGAAAACCCGGTTTTAAACAAACAAAAAAAGATTAAAGGGGCCAGGGATTTAGCTCAGTGGTTCTGGCGCTTGCCTTGTAATTGCAAGGTCCTGAGTTCGATTCCCGGTACCAAAAAAACAAAACCAAAACCAAAAAAAGATTAAAGACTTGGTCCTGAGGACGGCACTATTGGGAACTGGTGGAACCTTTCAGCTTGGGGTCCAGAGGGGGTCCTTTTTTTTTTTGGTACCAGAGATCGAACTCGGGTCCTTGCGCTTTAGAGGCCGGCAGCAGCCATTGGGGGGTCTTTAGATCAGGGGAGCTGCCATGGAAGGGAACAGCAGGGCCCCACCCCCTCCTCTTTCTCTCTTTTGCTTCCGGGTCACAAGGGGAGCCCTTCTATTCCCCCACGGGCTCCCACCTTGGTGAGCTGCCTTCCAGAGACCTAGAAATTGATCACTGACCATAACCTAAAAATCTATGAGCCAAGTAGCCCTTTCCTTTTTCCTTTCATTCTTTCCTTTTTTTTTTTTTTTCAGTACTGGGTATTGAACCCAGGATCTTTACACTGAGATCCATCCCAGCCTTTTTAAATTATTTTTTATTTTGAGACAGGGTCTCGCCCAGGTTGGATTTGCAATCTTCCTGCCTCAGCCTCCCCAAATCCTGGAGGCCTGCACTACCATGCCCAGATTTTTGTTTTTTGTTTTTGAGACAGGGTCTCACCATGTAGTCTAGGCTGACCTCAACCTCAGAATCCTCCAGCCTCAGCTTCCCAAGTGCTGAGATTTCAGATGTGCATCACTGCACCCAACCAAAACCTTTCCTTATTATAAATTGATGATCTCAGACATTTTGTTGGAGGGATAGAAAGTGAATTTACACCAGAAACTGCCAGAGAGGCATGGAACAAATTATTCCTCAAAGCCACCAGAAATGACCAACCCTGCCAATACCTTGATGTTGGACTTCTGGCCTCTAGAATTGTGAAAATAAATTTCTGCATTTTAAGCCCCTGAGCCTGTAGTAATCTATTATGGCAGCCATGAGAAAGGAATAAAATGACTGTCAGACTAATGAATTCCACAAGAGACAAGGAAAGACTGAGAGACTGTCACAGGCCAGAGGAGACCAAGATGGGCTGAAGTTGTTTTGTTCAAAGAGCTCCTGGGCCAGAAGAATCATCTGTGATGGGCCGAGGATTTAGCTCAGTGGCACTGCACCTGCCTTGCGAGTGCAAGGTCTTGAGTTCGATCCCTGGTAAAAAAAAAAAGGGGGGGGGGCCTGTGGGAGCTCATTTGACCTTTCCACCACATGAAGACACACGAATATGCAGTCACCGTCTATGCACCAGGTTGCAGCTGCATCAGACAGCACATCCTAGAATCCACCAGGCCCTCTAAGACACCCAGCACTAAGATCCAGCTGGGTGTGGTGGTGCTCACTTGCTATCCCAGCACGAAGGGAGGCTGAGGTAGGGAGGATCACCAGTTCCAGCACAGCCTTCCCATTGAACTACATCTACAACCCCTCAAAATTTTTACTTTTGAGACGGGGTCTCGCTAAATTGTCCAAGCTAGAATAACTTTGTGATCCTCTTGCTTAAGCCTCCCAGAGTGCTGGTATGACAGGCGTGTACCACCACACCTGGCTCTTTCCCCACTCTTCAGAGACAACAGGGCACAGAAATGTATCGCATTGATGCCTTCTGGTCATGGATCACAGTCCCAAAGACAATTGTAAGCACCTTCTTTTTTTTTTTTTTGGCTTTTTTGAGACAGGGTCTCACTATATAATTCAGGCTGGCCTTAAACTCACTGTGTGGCCCAGGCTGACCTCAAACTCGTGACAGTCCTCCTGCCTCAGCCTCTGGAGTGCTAGGATTACAGGCGTTCACCACCATGCCCAGTTTAAGCACCCACTCTTCACGTGCATGTGTGTTGGTTTACAAATGACGCAAGCACACATGTGCCCTTAGACCGCACTGTGTACCATGTGAATCACAGACCATACATGGAAAATAGACCCGAGACAGGATGACACAAGCAAATAGAACTAGAAATTACAATTTTCCCCCATACCACTAACTTTTTTTGTTGTTTTTTGTATTTTTGCAGTGCTGGAGATGGAACTCAGGGATTTGCACATACTAGGCAAGCAGTCTACACTAGGCTGCAGGCCCAGCCCTTTTTATTTTTTACTTTGAGACAAAGTCTTGCCGAGTTGCCCAGGCTGGGCTCAAACTGGCAATCCTGCCTCAGCCTCTGGAGTAGCTGAGATTACAGGTCTGGGCTATCATGCTCAACACTGAACCTCGGTTTTTCTATCAATACACTTTCTTCACTTAGTTTTGTTTTTTGAGAGTAGTCCAGGCTGGCCTCGAACTCACAATGATCCTCCTGCCTCAGGGGCACCATGTAACCAGTGTTGGCCAAGGAGATGATGAGTTTCACTAGCAGACCCAAGCAACAAGCAGTTCCTTTGTGAGTCTGGTGCCTTTTTCACTATCCCAGCAGCCTTGGGGACTGCAGTTCTGCACGACTCAGTAACACAAGTGCAGCTCAATGGGAGGAATCACAACTTTCCATAGTCCAACAGGGTCACCGTGGAGGGAAGCAGCTCATTATATGTTTCAAAGTAGCTAGCAGAAGCCAGGTGTGGTGGCACACACCTCTAATTCTAGCACTCAGGAGGCTGAGGTAGGAGGATCTCTATAAGTTTAAGGCCAGCCTGGGCTATATAGTGAGACCCTGCCTCAAAAAAAAAAAAAAAAAAAGTGCTTAGATGGAGCTCAGAGCTCGGTGCGAGTTTCATTTTCAGCACTAAATACACATGCAAAATTTTATTTTATTATTATTTTTTGACTTATCATTTCAGCACTGTGGGAGGCCGAGGGAGGAGGATTGCAAGTTCAAGGCAGCCTGGCCAACTTAGTGAGACCCTGTTTCAAAAAAATAAAAGGGGCCAGGTGTGGTGGTGCATGCCTGTAATCCCAGCACTCAAGAGGCTGAGGCAGGAGGATTGACACAAGTTTGAGGCCAGCTTGGACTACATAGCAAGTTCAAGTCCAGCCTAAGCTACATGGTGAGACCTTGTCTCAAACAACCAAAAAGGAACAAAAAATAAAAGGGCCGAGGATGTTGCTCGGTGCAAAGATATGTTCGATTCCCAGAGTAATAAAAAAAAAAAGAATAAACTGATGTCAATCTCATGTGTCTGGTGTTAGGAGTTGTGTTCAGCCATCTCATATTATTTAAAGTAAGGATCCCTCCTTCACCAAAGGGGTAAAAAGGAAGTGCTCAAAATGCTAGTCGGTTCAAGGGTGGCATGTCCTTTTTTGGTGCTGAGGACCCACTTTGCTTTTATCTTGTTTCTTCACCATTCAAGGCCTCTATTCCCAAAGCAATGTCCAAATGGGTGCTGGAGTTCAGCAATCACATCTACCATTCAATAGCAGGAAGTAGAAAGGCATCCCTTTTCCCTCAAAGTTGTGCATACCACTTCTGCCTACACCTGGTCAGCTAGAACTTAGTCATTTGGCCACATTTCGCTAAAATGGAGGCTGGGGAAATGCAGTTCTTTTTCCAGGAAGCCATATGTCCAGGTAAATATCAGTAATTTAGGGAGTGGACCAGATTGTTAAGAAATTATCAGCCACATGCAGGTGTAATACGTACTAATGCTGGTGACAGCAGGCTCTGCTGGACATTGGGGTTATATTGGTGGCCTGTCCTTCATCAGTGTCTTTGTAGAGAATGCCCTGCAGGAGCCTGACACACTGGCACATGCCTATAATCTCAGCACTGGAGAAGTCAAATCCAGCCTAAGAAAGAGAACCATTTCCTGTTGGGCTGGGAAGGACAGGGCTGGGCAGTGTGAAGGGCGGGTCATGTGCTGCCAGGAGATAAGGCCTGCTGCTTATTTACCAGTGAGTCATGAGGCTCCTAGCCAATCAGCACATTCTTCTATCCCTGGGTGAACATGTGTCCAGAGCTAAGCCAATGAGATTCAAGCTTGGGACTTTCTGCTGAAGTGGGAGTTGTCTGCAGTTTAGGCTGGGTTATTGCAGGGCACAGGGACACCTTAGAGTCCAGAGCTAGAGAGAGAAGCCACCTGGAGAGCATCATTTGAGTTCCTGGTTGCATCTGTGCTTGAAGGACACATTCCACTGCCTTTTCCAGTCAAGCAACAATGAGTGACCTTCGCATTGGCTGGTTCCCTCAGGCTCTCCTCCTGCACAGTTGAAAGAGCCTGCCAGAAACCCAAACCGTCCTTCCCAATTCGTCCTGATGCTTCCTGGGGTCAGGACTAGTGCAGGGGGTCCATCACTCTACTAAGGCCAAGGTGCCCCTGCCCACTGCCCAAGCCAGTGGCCGCTGGTCCCATGGGGAGAGCTTGGTTGGGCTGTGTTGTTCCTTTATGGCCAGATCTAAAAGCTGTCTCCTGTCCTAGCCTATAAGGAGGTTGGTCACCCAGTCCTGGAACAAGTGAGAAAATGATCTTTCCTCCTCTGTAGATGATGCAAGGGTTAAAACAGAGGCTCTCCATTATTATCTCCACATCTTGGAGTCTTTTTGGTTTGTTTTGTGGTGCTGGGGATGGAACCCAGGGGAGCTCTACCACAGCCCCTTTTATTTTGAGACAGGATCTCACTAGGTTGCCAGGCTGGCCTTGAACGTGGAACCCTCTTGCCTCAGCCTCCTGAGAATGCAGGACTATGAGTGTGCGCAAACACTCTGTGAAATAATTCACTGTTTATTGTTGTGCTTTCCCTTCAGGCATCACCAAACCCACAGCAGTTTTCTGAGATTAGCACATTCAAACTCATCTCAAACTCTGCTTCTGGGAGACTCCAGCCTCCTTCACACACTAGCCTGGGCCCAGTCTTGCACCTTCCCTCACTGCCTCAGCTACTGCCAAGCTGAGCCCTCAATGCAGATGCCATTCTTAGGACTTGCTGTCAGGCATGGCAGTGCACTCCTGTAACCCCAGCACTCTGGGAGGCTGAGGCAGAAGGATCACAAGTTGGAGCCCAGCCTGGGAAATTTAGTGACTTAGCAAAACCCTGTCTCAAAACAAAAAACAAACAAGCAAAAAATACTCGGGGATGTAGTTCAGTGTGAAGACCCTGGGTTCAGTCCCCAGTACAACATCAAACTACAAAACCTTTCCACCCAACTCCCTTGTTTGGCTTCCGCCAGCCCTTCGAGGCAGGGTTTTTCTGTTACCCCTGTTTCCCAGGTGGGAAACTTGAGGTCCAGACAGGCAAATGAGTTGGCCTCAGTCATCCTACCGGTAGCGGGGGCTACAGCAGGCACCCAGTCCTGCCCCATGGTGACGTCAGAGATATGTGGCCTTGGGTCCTCATGTGTTATCTCTTTAAAGTTTACATCCCTTCTGGGAGGGAAGGTGGCCATTACTCCACCTTATAGAGAGGGGAACTGAGGCCCAGAGAGGAGGGGAGCCCAGGCTCAAACCAGGCAGGGTGGCACAGAGCCCTTCCCGAAACCACCAGGCTGGTGGCCCCTCTGTGTCATTTTCTCTCAGCAGCTGTGGCTGCTGGGCACTGGGTGTCTGGCTGCCAATGAGGCCATCTGGAGAGAGGAGGAGGGGCCACATGGTGACCTGACCGAGGGCCCCAGGCTGAGCCCAGGCCTCCCTGACCCCAGCTGCTGGCCTCTGCTCCTTGGGGAGCGTCCCAAGCTCCAGAGCCCCTCTCTGTTCCCATCCCTGGGTCTGCGGTCAGCCGGTCGGCCCAAATACCAGACAGGGCAAATCTCAGCTTTGCCTCCAACATTCCTGGTTCCCACAGCCCGGCCAGGCTGGCTGAGGTTACAGAAGCAGAGCTGGGGCGGTGGGGGGAGGCCTAGGGCGACTGAGAGGATGGGCTGGCTTGGCCTCACCACCCCATCCGGCCGCCCACTGCCTTCCCCAGGGCGGGGAAGGGGGTGGGCCAGCTCCCTGGAGCCCAGGAGAAGGGTGTGTGTGGAGGCGGTGACAGCGCTGAGATGGAAGGAGGTGACCGCCTGGCTTGCATTTGGGTGAGAAGGCAGAGCAGGCCTGGCAATGGTAAGGTGGGCAGGGAGGGTCCAAGGGTGGGGCCTGCCTGCTGCCCACTGCACCCCTCCCTGATGGGGGATGCTCTGGTAGCCATGGTGACCCTGTGCCCGGCCAGGCACACACTGAGCCTTCCCTCCACCCCCAGCAGCTGAGCTTACTGTTGCTGCTGCTGCTGCCGCCAGGGCCCCTGCCTGTTCCTGGCATGGAGGACCCCGACTTTCCCCACCCGGGAGAGAGCTCGCAGCCCCCACCCCGGGCCTGTCCCTGGCGCTGCTCCTGTCCCCAGGCTGACGTGGTAGACTGTGCTGGGCTGGACCTGCATGAGTTCCCGGATAATATTACCAGGGAGACCCGGTACCTCTCCCTGCAGGTGGGGCTGAGTAGAGGGGGATCCAGGAGTGACAGGGAGTGGAGGGGGAGGAGTGTAGGAAGTGAGGGGTGGGGGTGCCCACGTGTGGGAGGTGGCCATGGCCAGTGACAGAAATTGGTAAGTGTACGCCTGTCATCCCAACACTCTGGGAGGCTGAAGCAGGAGGATCACAAGTTCAAGCCCAGCCTGGGCAACTCAGCGACTTAGTGACTCTCAAAATAAAAAAAAAAGACAGGGCTGGGGCTGGAGCTCAATGTGAAGGACCAGGGTTCAATTCCCAAGAGTGAAAAAAAATTACAAAAAAAAGAAGTTGGCCTTGCTGTCAGTTTGCAGGTGGGAAGGGAAGGAGTTGGGGGTGAAGATACTAGGTGTGGGAAGGGCTAAGGTTTGGGGTCAACATCGTGGGGTCGTGGAATTGTTTGGGGTCAGTAGGTTTGGGGGTGATTGTTGGGATGTGGGGGATCGATGTATTGGTAGTTGAGGGTTTGGGGCTGATTGTGAGTGATATGGTGTTCAGTCAAGGTGTCAGTGTGCGGGAGGTGACTTAGGGTCAGTGTGGTGAGGCATTTGTACTCTGAAAAGGGAAAGGGAAGCCCAGGGAGCTGGTGGGCAGAGCCCAAGTTCAGACCAGGCAGCTGGCACTGTTGCTAATGGGGGTTTGTGGAGAGGCAGTGTTTCAGAGGAGACAGGGTTTTGTTTTGTTTTGCGTGAGGTACTGGGGATTGAACCCAGAGCCTTTGCCCTGAGCTACATCCTCACCCCTTTTTTTAATTTTTCATTTTGAGACAGGGTTTTGCTAAGTGGCTAAGTTTCCCAGATTGAGTTTGAACTAACTTGTGATCCTCTTGCCTCAGCCTCCCAGAGTGCTGGGATTACAGGCGGCAGTTGCTGTGCCTAGCTAGAGGGTTGTTTTGAGTCGACTGTGCAGTGACAGGGTGTTGTTGAGCTTCAGTGCTTGCCAGTCCCAAGGCTGTCTGGGGCCAGGGTGATGGGATGTTTGGGATGAATGTGGGGTGCTGGGAACGATGGGGAATCCAGCACTGAGGCCCAGGTCTGTGTTCCTGGTGAAAGGTCATCAGGGTCAGGGTGTGACTATCCCCTTCCCTCTAGAACAACCAGCTCCGGGAGCTCCCCTACAATGAGCTGTCCCACCTCAGTGCCCTGCGCACACTCAATCTACACAACAACTTCATCTCTTCCGAGGGTGAGGGCCTGGGGCAGGTGTGTGGGGTGCACGAGGTCCCCTCTACCCTCTGTGTCCCAGGCTTCGGGCAGCTCTGTGGTTCCCAGCAGCAGCCTCTCCTGAGGACAGAAACCTGGGCTGTGGCGGCTGTAGCTCTGAGGAGGGACGGGGCGAAGCACCTCCTTAGGGGCCCAGCTCGAAGCCCTCCAGACCCCTCCCCATACCCACACACCGGGTCCCTCACGGCTGCTGCCCCGCCCCCAGGCCTGCCTGATGAGGCCTTCGAGTCCCTGGGGCAGCTACAGCACCTCTACGTGGCCCACAACCAGGTGAGCCTGTGCCCCCTGTGTACCCCAGGAGGTAGGGGGCTGACATGGCACAGGACTGGCGCTGTTGCTCCCACAGCTCTCAGTGGCCCCCCAGTTCCTGCCACGCTCCCTCCGTGTGGCTGATCTGGCCGCCAATCAAGTGACAGAGATCTTCTCGCTCACCTTTGGGGAGAAGCCCGCCCTCAGGTAGCTCTGGCTCCTACCCTCAACTGTCTGGGGGACCAGGGGGTCACTGAACCTACCCTGGGAGGTGTTGGGAGGGCTGGCCCTGCCCTGGGCAGTGCAGATCTGCACTGGGGGCCGGGGGCTGACAGGGTCCTGTGTGGGGTGGAGAACTCTCAAGCCTGGCTCTAATGCAGGACCCAGGTGTGGCCAGGGAGGGTGGGGCAGCGGGGGCTGGTGGCCGCAGCCTGGGTGCCCTCAGGTCCGTGTACCTCCACAACAACCAGCTGGGCAACGCCGGCCTCCCACCCGACGCCTTCCAAGGCTCTGAGGCCATCACCACCCTCAGCCTCTCCAGCAACCGGCTCAGCTACCTGCCACCCAGCCTGCCCACCTCGCTGGAGCGGCTGCACCTACAGGTACCCACCTTGGACACCCATCCTGTGCCCCAGGCTCTCCCAGGAGGTCCCTTTCCCTTGCCTCCCATCCTTCTGGCACCCCCAGCATTCCAGCAGCAAGAGCTACCTTTCTCAGAAACCCTGCTACCTTCCTGGAGGCGAGCTCACTCAGGAGCCATCTGTGCCTTCCTACTGCCCTCTGTTCCAGACCCTCCACATCACTGTCTTCTCTTTTCTCCAGAACAACCTCATTTCCAAGGTGCCCCGAGGAGCCCTGAGCCGCCAGACCCAGCTCCGTGAGTTGTACCTTCAGCACAACCAACTGACAGACAGTGGCCTGGATGCCACTACCTTCAGGTAGTGGGCACAGTTGAAGCTGGGCACTTAATCTGGCTGTGACCATCTTCACCTCCTCCTCTGCATGACGCCTAACAGGCCTTGTTTGTTGAGTGCCTGCATCATACCAAGCTCAACCTGGCACCTGGCAGGGTCTGTGTCCCCTACCAGTCTGCACTGAGGTTTTATGTCACTGGCTACTGAATTCAAGGGTGCTCTACCATTGAGCTACATTCCTAGCCAATTTTATTTTTTTGAGGCAGAGTATCACTAAATTCCCCAGGTGGTACTTGAATTGAGATCCTCCTGCTTCTGCCTTTCTCATGCATTGAGGGTTTTTTTTTTAATCCAGCGTGATAGCTGCCACATGCATTTCTATTTGACCTAGAATTCGTTTGTGGTGACACACACACACAGCTAACCTTCCGGCTGGAGCCTGCCCTGAGCACCCTAAGTTTACCTCCCATCCTGCTCTCAGGCATCACCCCAGCTGAATTGTCTCAGGACCCCTCCCTGTGAGACCTGGCAGCTCCTCTCTCTGGACACCTAGCCTGACGCCCATCTTCTCTCCTGGCAGCAAGCTGCACAGCCTGGAGTACCTGGATTTGTCACACAACCGACTGACCATGGTGCCCGCTGGCCTGCCCAAGACCTTGACCATTCTGCACTTGGGGCGCAACCGCATCCGGCAGGTGGAGGCGGCCCGGCTGCGCGGGGCCAGGGGCCTGCGGTACCTGCTGCTGCAGCACAATGAGCTGGGGGCCACAGGGCTGCCGGCCAGGGCGCTGCGCCCTCTGCGGAACCTGCATGCACTACACCTCTATGGGAACCAGCTGGAACATGTGCCCCCCGCACTGCCACGCCGCCTGTGGGCCTTGCTGATGCCCCACAACCACGTGGCTGCGCTGGGTGCCCGTGACCTGGCCTCCACACCAGGCCTAGCCGAGCTCAACCTGGCCTACAACCGGCTGACCAGTGCCCGCCTGCACCACCGGGCCTTCCACCGCCTGTGCGCCCTGCGCTGCCTCGACCTGGCCGGCAATCAGCTGACCCAGGTGCCCGCGGGCCTGCCTGGAGGCCTGCGCACCCTGCGCCTGCAGTGCAACCAGCTGCACACCCTGGAGCCCGAGTCACTGGCTGGGCTGGGTGAGCTGCAGGAGCTCAGACTGGCGCACAACCGGCTGCGCATCGGTGACATCGGGCCCGGCACGTGGCATGAGCTGCAGGCCCTCCAGGTCAGGAGTTCCCAGGCTGTCCCCACGGCCTCTGCCCACTGTCCCTCCCTCCGATATCTCGCTGCTCCCCAGTGCCTCCATTCCACGGAGAGGGTTTGTAGGTGGCACCATCCTAGCACAGGAAGCAGCTCCCACCCCTCACCCACCCTGGACAGCCTGGCTAGACAGCAAGCCGTCAAGGGCAGGGACATAAGCCAGGGTGTCAGGGTATGGGAGGTCGAGGAGAGCCCTCCTCTGTGACCTATCCAGTCGGGTGAGAACAGGCCTGCCCTGGAAAGAGACTCTGTGCCGTGAAGGGATTTGGCAACTGGGGAGGGGGAGGAGGAAGAGGAGGATGAAAAAGAGGAAGGGGAGGAGGGAGAGGACTTGGCAGTTCAAGTCCCATAATCCTAGTACAGTACTCTAGGAGACCGAGGCAGGAGATTTGCAAGTCTGAGCCCAGCCTGATCAGTTTACTAACTTAGCAAGGTAACTCTCCGATTTTAAAAGGCGGACCAGGAAGGTTCAGTGTTAAGGTCTTGGACTCAATCCCTAGTATGGAAAAAAAAAAAAAAACGGTTAGAGAGGTGGCTGCACTCTGGGGAGCGGGAGGAGTCTTGGGGGCTGGCTGTGCTGGGATGGGCACACGCTGTCTCCCCCACCACCAGGTACTGGACCTGAGCCACAACGAGCTGTCCTTTGTGCCCCCTGATCTGCCTGAGGCCCTGGAGGAGCTGCATCTGCAGGGCAACCGTGTCGGCCACGTGGGACCCGAAGCCTTCCTCAGCACACCACGCCTGCGTGTCCTCATCCTCAGGTGGGGGACTTGCCTCAGGGGCGTGACCAAGGTGTGAGGGCGGGGCACACCCACTGACCCACGCCCACGCCCCTCTGTGCAGGGGCAACCGGCTGCACATGACCAGCATAGCGGAGGAGGCCTTCCTGGGCCTCCCACACCTGCGCGTGGTGGACACGGCTGACAATCTCGAACAGGTCCTGGTCCGGCTGCCATCCACTACCCAGCATCGGCCCCGGGCAGGGGGCTCCTGAGCCTGCAGAACAGCCCCAAGCCCTAGGGCTCAGTGGGGCATGGACTGACGGGGGACAGTGGGGCTCTGGGGCTGCCGCCGCCGAGGGAGAGATGGAGCCAGAGACAATAAAGCCTACCCCTTTCTAGCACTCACCTGGGACCAGCGCCCTTCTCGGGGTTCTGCCCTCTGCCACCTCCCCACACCTTGGAGTCAAACCGGTGAAACAGGCTCTGGATGCCAAGGAGAGCAAGGAGCTGGGTCCAGCATTCCTCTCCAGTGCAGGACTGGACTGGATTCTGAGGTTCTGAGACACGTGGTCACCAAGCAACGTGATCTATGATCCAGCCTCAGAAGCAACCCCCACAATGCCCAAGGCCCCCTGCTGAATCTGTGTACAGACCCCGGCAGCATCCCACAGCGCATGTGCGGCACAAGTCCTCATCCCACCCGCCCCTCCCTGGGGGCTTGGGGTTAAGGCGAGCCCTGTGTGGCCACTGCAGCCCAGAGAGAGAAATAGGACAGAGCTGAACTGGGCGTGACCTCGCTGTTTATTCCATGTCCTGGCCTGTGCAGTCCCAGATGCCAGCCTCAGCAGCTTCTTTGGGGTATGGAGGGCTGTAGGGTTAAGGCCAGAAAGGGACAGGAAGTAAAGTGCTTGCAGAGGCCCTTGGGGCTTGGTCCCTGCCACCCTCCTGCTCAGGGGCAGCAAGGTGGGCACCCAGGGATGTGCAAACAGAACTCTGGCATGGGTGAGGGGTAGAGTCCTTGGGGCCCTGCCAGGGAGGTCTGGCTGGGCTGTGGTCCTGGAGAGGATGAGTCCAGAACCGATTGTCCACTGATTGTCCACTTGTCTTGGGTTGGTGGCCTGTGAGATCCTATGGTTGTCCAGCTGCCCACCCTGCCGGGCCCTCACCTGCGGAGCCGCTGCAGCTAGAAACGATATGGGGCAGGGGTCAGGGGCCGAGACCGTAGCAGAACCCACTGCCCACCTCCAGGCAGCTCACCTCACTCTCAACCAGGTTCCGCCGGTAGAGCGCCTCCTTCGCGGCCTCCTGGGGAGACAGAGAGGTCACAGTGGTCAGCAGGGCATCCCCACCGGCCACTCCATCCCACCCTGTTGCCCCAGGGGCCCCCACTTACCCTGCTGCCATCATTGCCCAGGCGCCGGGCGGCCTCTGTGTAGAACTGCAGCTGCCGCTCCAGCTGGGCCGTGTACTCTGGGGTGGGGGTAGGAAACAAGGCTGCTGCCCTCCACACTGGCTGGCCCAGCCTCTGCCCCTTGGATCCGTCTTGAGCCCCTGACAATCTAGATGCCCATCCCCGAGGCCCTAACTTTCTGGATGCCTGTCCCCAGGCACCTAAACTTCTAGATGCCTGTCCTAAGCCCCTGATCTTCTAGATGTCCATCCCCAAACCCCTACCTCTCCGGATGCCAGCTCCCCCCTGCTCTAGCTGGGCCCTCTGCCACTGGCTGCGCTGCACGACGTCTTGGTACTGCTGGGCCACCTCCGGGGGCACTGGCCGACGCGCCTGCCTTAGAGCCAGGATCTAGGGACACAGAGAGGGGTGTGAGCTCCTGGTCCAGGGGCGCAGACACCTAGGCCCACTGTGCCAAGCCCAGTTGGGGGGGCACCCACCTTTCGCTCCAGCCGCTCCTGGTCAAAGGCCAGTACACTGAGGCTGTGCAGGGGCCGGGCTGACCTGTGGGGTGGCAAGAGAGATGCGGGACAGCACGGACTCCCCCTGCCTGACCTCATTATTCAACGGACATGCTGGGTACTGAGACACAGGGAAAACAAGTGAGGTCCACCCCAGTGTTGCAGAGGCCACAGCCTGGGGGGTGGTGCTGGCTGCATACCCAGGCCACCGTGATGCCTGGGGTGGTCAGGAAGTGCTTCCTGGAGGAGGTGACAGCCAACCTGGGATCCAGAGGACAAGGAGGGAAGGGGAGAGGGGCAGAGGGAGTCAGAACACAGAGAAGCCAGGAGGGCAATGAAAACTAGATGTAGCCATGAATCAACAAGAGGGAGCGAGGAAAGAGAAGTCTGGATAGATTGACAATGGTTAGATCACAAAAGATCTTAAAGATCAAGCTGAAAAGTTTAAACTGGATCCTCCAGGAGAAGGGCGCAGGACAAGTCTGGGAGTAGGATAGGGCCACAGTCCAGTTTGTGCCTGACGGGAAACTGTCCTGGAAGGGCTGTGAGACAGAGAGGGAATCCCCTCCCGTGGCTTGACCCAGCCTCCTACCTGTTCCCTGCCTCCCTAGAAGGCGCAGGCATAGGAGGTCCTTTTCCTTTGGGCGCAGCAACCTGCTTCAGAGGAGAGACCCAGGCCTGTGAGTATTGGGTCGGCACCGTGCTCCCTCCCTGGGCAGGCAGCAGGCACTCACCGTGGGCACAGCTGCAGGCAGGGGGTCTATGACCAGCCACCTCTCTGTGGTGGTCTCCAGCTGCTGGGCCGTCAGCGGCTCCCGGATCCTCACCATCACCTCCAGCCGCCCCCCTGTGGGCCGGCGACCATCCAGGACCTGGGTGGGGAGCAACAGGAGTCCTGGGCATCCAGGAGCCCAGGAGTGGCTGGGTCAGCAGGGAGGGTAGGGTCTGCTCACCTCCAGGATCTCGTGGACCTCGCACGCCGTCTCCAGCATGTCCAGCTTCAGCTGCGCTGTCCCCAGCACCCGGTCGGTCTTGAACAGCCCCCTGGGGGCGTGGGGCACAGTGGTTGGTCTGGGCGGCCCTGCGACCAACCCCCACCTGCGCCTGCGGCCCTGCTCACCCCTTGTGGACCACTTCGAACTTGATGCCCTTGGTCTGCAGGGCCCTGCGGAAGCCTCGGTGGCTGCGACTGATGCAGAGTTTGAACTGCTCCTTGAACTCTAGGCGGCAGCAAGGAGGAAAGACAGTGGGGTCAGGCCTGCTCACAGGCTCCTTCCCTGCTGCGGGGCCATGTGGGGTGCCCCTGCCCCACTCACCAGGGGAGTCTGTGTTCTTGATCACGCTGGTCTTGTCTTTCTGAGCTTCCTCCTGTGTCGCCAGAGGCAGGATATAGCAGAGCCCAGCACATGGCCTGGGATCCCATCCTGGCCCGCCCTCCTTGGCTCCCCACGTACCACGTTGGGGTAGGGGAAGTCGAAGCGCACGAAGACATCCAGGTCACCAGGGGACAGTCCTACGGGCAAGCCAAGGTCAGAGCTGAGCGGAGGGAGGGAGTCTCCAAGGGCCCCCCCATTGCCTCCCCGCCACCTCACCTGGGGGTGTGGGCAGGTTGATGCCCTTCACGATGAACAGGAGCATGTCGTTGCTGCTGAGTTCTGGGAAGATCCTGCAGGGCGGGCAGGAAGGAAACAGAGCCCTCAGCCCCACCCCACCTGCCTTCCCACCCTCCTTGGGCATACGCATAGAACCCTCCCTGGCCTCTAGGCTTTCGAATCAGATAGACAAGAGTTCTGTGTTCAGGTCCGCCACTGCTGAGCTTCTGGGTCCTTTCTTCAAAGGTGGTTTTTGTATTTTTCTTTCTTTTTTTGGGGGGGGTCCTTTCTTCAATGTGGACACATTTCATACCTACCATGCACTGCCCAATAGGCTTGCTGCTGTAAGCATTTCCCACTCTGGCTTTTTTTCAGTACTAGGGACTGAACCCAGGGGCATTCTACCACTAAGCCACATCCTCAGCCTTTTTTATTTTTTGGTTTAAGACAGGGCCTCACTAAGTTACCCAGGTTGGCCTTGAACTTGTGATCCTCCTGCCTCAGCCTCCTGAGTACCTGGGATTACAGGCATGTGCCACTGCACCTGGCAGGAATCTCCTTTTCTTTAGCAATATTTCTTGAGTTCCCTACTATTCACTGATCACTGGTCTTGCTGCTGGGACTTTCCTTTCATTGGACAATCTTTCTTGAGAACCTATCATGGGCTGGCTGGTACCTTAACGACTATGGGACTTCCCATAATATTCCTACAAACACAGGCCAGTGCTCTTGCCAATGTGAAGGGGCCTTCTTGAGCACCTACTGTGCGCTTGGCAGTGTCTTAGCTGTTGTACAAACTTCCTTTCCCTTAATATCTTGAGTCCTATTAAGTGCTAGCCAGAGCCCTCACTGCTGGGGGACCTTCCTTTCATTTGACTATTTTTCTTTTTTTCTTGGAGACAGGGTCTTGCTATAGAGTTTAGGCTGGACTTGAACTCACTATGTAGCCCCGAGGCTTCTAACTCGAGGTAATCCTCCCACCTCAGTCTTCCAAGTGCTGGGATTACAGGTGTCACCCACACATGGCTCTTGACAGTATTTCTTCAGCATCTCCACTGTCATAACCAGTGCCAGGGCTGCTGTAGGACCTCCCTTCACTTAATATTCCTTGAGTCCTACTAAGCACCAGCCAGTGCCCAGCTAATGGGGACAGAGAGTGAACCGAAAGACCCAAGCCTGTGCTTGGGAACTGCTACTGCTGCAAAGACAGATGCCCACCAAATGCACAGATGGGAAAACTGCAACTCTGACAAGAATTCAAATAGTGCAGGGTGCATAGGAGGGAGTGCTTTACACAGTGGTCACGGAGGGCCCCTCAGGAGGTGACAGCATAAGTGACACCCAAAGACAGACTTGCCACAGGAGCCCTGGAACAGAAGGCCTGGGCAGAGGAAGCAGCAGATACAAAGGCCCTGAGTGGCAGAGGTCTGCATCACAGCAGGGAAAAGAGAGAGCCCTGTGCCTAGGGGGCCAAGGAAAGTGAGGTAAGCGGGGAAGGAAGAAGGGGCAGGAGCCAGGATGAGATGTGTGGGTCATCCTAAGTGGGGCAGGAGTCTCTGAAGGCCCAGCTGCTGTACCCAGTCTCATGTAGAGACACCATCCTGATCCTCAGGGCATGGGACACCTTAGCAGGAGCCAGGCCCAGTGACCACCAGTGACGTGCATCGCCAGTCCCAGTGGGGTTACTGGGCCACTGGAACTAGATATATCCTCACCCTCACCACATCTTCTCTGTTGCATTTCCAGATGTCTGTGCCCAGCCCACTGTGACCTGTGGCTTGCACCTCATGCCCACCTCAGGGCCTTTGCACATTCTGTGCTCCCAGCATCCTCCCAACTTTCTAGCAGAGGCAGATCCTGCACACTTCCAGGAGCATGGAACCCCAGGGAGTACCAGTGTCTTACTTGATGACACTGAAAGTTCTCTGCTCGAAGCGGGCGACAGGGGTGGGCAGACCTCGGGTGAAGGCCTGCTTCAGGGTGTCCATGCTCCGCCTGCAGTCCTCTGCCAGCTTCTCGAACCTGAAAGGAGGGTGGCTCAGATCCTGGCATAAGGGTGGGCTAGGGGCACACAGGCAGGTGGGGTGGGGCCCTTACTTGCTGGTCTCAGAGATGTTCCCCAGGTGGGTGAACTGGTTCGAGTGGTTCAGACACATCTGTGGGATGGACAGCAGGCAGTGAGGCCAGGCATCGGGCTGGAGCCCGGGGATGGTGGCTGACGCAGCTGGGCCTCACCTCATGCTGCTGCCTGAGCAGCTTAGTCAGCTCCCCATAGCGTCGGGCAGCCTCCTGTGACAGGCCTGGGCCGGGCCGCTGGACCAGGGCAAAGTCATCCTTGTTTATGGGGGCGGGCGGGACCTGGGGAGGATGAGATTGGTTGGGAGGGCCCTGCACATGGCTCTGCAAAGATGCCACTATCCTCTGTACTTGGGCCTTCCACTGTGCGACATAGCAAGCCGCCTATCGGCCAGCTGTGCCATCTTTATGGAACCCCTCCTGTGCGTGCAGGCTGTGTTCCAGGGCTGGGCATGCAGCAGGGAATAAGAGATGCAAATCCTTGTGGGGCTGACATTCTCTTGAGCTAAACAGGCAACATCCTTAAGAAATAAGTAAACCAATAAGAAGTGGTGGCACCTGTAATCCTAGCACTGTTGGAGGCTGAGGCAGGAGGATCACAAGACTGAGTCTAGCCTGAGCAATTTAACAACTCAAACTAAAAAGAATTTTAGGGCCAGGGATTTAGCTCAGTGGTTCTGCTGCCTGCCTTGCAAGTGCAAGGACCTGAGTTCGATCCCTGGTACAAAAAAAAAAAATACTAAAAAGAATTTTAAAAAGGACTGGGGATGTAGCTCAGTGCGAAGGCAATTCCCAGTAGCACAGAACAAACAAACAAAAACCCAAGTAAGCTGTATGACATAGTAGGAAGTGATCAATACTATGGAGAAAGAAAAGATGGGGAGGGAAGGCAGAAGGTTCTGGGTTAAAGGGAGGGATTTTTTTTGGGGGGGGGCGGTCCCGATATATTGTTCTGGCTGGCCTTGAACTCACTATGCAGTCCAGGCTGGCCTCAAACTTGAGGTGATCTCATGCCTCAGCCTCCCAAGTGTTGGGATTACAAGTGTGTGCCACCACATCCAGTGGGAGGGATCTTAGGAGGCTGGAGCAGGGCTCACGAAAATGGCATGAGTGGAGACTGAAGGAAAGGGGAAGTGAGACAAGCAGGCATCTGGGGGACAGTGTTTCGGGGTTAGAATAACATGTGCAAAAAGCCTTGCAAGTCTCCATATGCAGAGAGGAGGTCGCATGACATGGGGAGAGGGAAGAGGAGATGAACAAAGGGGACAAAAGGGAGGTGATAGGGCAAATTATGCAGGGCCTCATGGGCCATAATGATAGGCCTGCATTGTGTGATTTTGGGGTCTTCCTAGCTAGAATGTCTGCTCTGTGCAGGTGGGAGTTTTATCTGTTTTTCTCAAGGCTACATCCTCTGTGCCCAGCTCAGACAGGGCTGGACATCCAGTACATGCTCCATGAATGCTTTCTACTGGTCTGTCATTCCATCACACAAGGAGTCCAGGCTGATCTGTGAGGTGCAGGTCACTGTCACTACTTCCCCAAGAAAAAAAGTGATGTTCTGGGTGAATGGTACAGCCCAAACTTGCAGAATCAGTTAAATGTCCTCCCACATTGCATCCTCTTCCCTGGTAATGGGTTTCTGGCTGGGTACACAGCAGCCCAGCAATAGTCTACATTGTCCCAGGCTCCTTTGCAGCTAGGTATGGTAACTTAGTTCTGGCCAATGAGAGGCAACCAAAAGTGATGTCACTTCCTTTAAAGGGAACTGGTCTGCACTTTTCTTTCTCACTCCTTCCCAAGGGCTGGAGCAGATACAGCAGTGATCTGCTTGGATCATGTGGGCAAGGACCACCCCTTAGGAAGGGCAGAGCCATGCAATGGAAGGAACCTGGGCCCTGAAAGACCTCCCATTGCAGAGCACAGCCTGCCAAGTGCTATATGAAAGAAACATGCATGTCTGTCTCCTTTTTGCTGTCTTAGGAGGGCCTACTTGTTACAGTGGCTTAGCCTAAGCCTGACTGATACACCCCAGGTCCACCTGACCTGGAGGGCTCACCTTGGCAATGTCCACAGGCAGCCCATTGCGGGAGGCCTCCAGCATGGGCTCCAGCCCCTTGGCCTGGCGCAGGTGCATCTTGGCACCTTCTACATCATTCTTCTGCTTGGCATGCAGCGCGGCCTGCAACAGCTGCTTCTTGCGGCCCTCCAGGAAGGCCAGCTGCTGCTGGGCTGTGGGCAGAGGGGCCTCTGCAGGGGCTGCCCCGGCTATCACACCAGGACGGTAGGCAACATGGGTGGGAGGAGACACTCACCTCTGGTGGACGTGCCCTTAGGGGCTGCTTTGGCTGCTGGGGCTGCCCCGGTATGGGGGGCCCTTGAGGGCAGGGCCTTGGCCTGGGCTGTGGGGGCTGCAGGGCTGTTGAGCTGCAGAGGGACAGAGAATCCAGGGCTCTCCCTGGGCCTGCACTGACCCCCTCCTCAGGTCAGAGTGCACCGTAACAAGGACCACCTCAGTGGAGACCCCTACATCCACTGTCGCTGATTCTTGTAACAGCTCTGGAGGAAGGACTGGCCCTATGTCTGCTTTCCGGACCAGAGCACTGGGGCTCAGGCAGATGCCCTTCCTGTGGCCTGTGGCCCAGAAGTGCAGGGCTGGATGTGTGGCTGGTTCTCCCCAGCTTAAGTGTGGACTTTCAAGACCCTATGTCGCCACCCTCTAGGCCCCTGCCTTAGCCCAGGCCCAGCTGCTCCCACCTTTTTAGATGCCTCGTCGTCATCATCATCCTCTGGCCCTTCATCCTGGTTGGCCAGCTTCATGGCGGTCTCCAGGACCCCGACCAGGCTCTGCTGGGTAGCCTCAGGGGCCTCTAGGCCCTGGATGGGGGGAAAGCCTGGGAGGCGGTTGGGGTGAGGTCAAACCAGCAGCAACCACACAGGGAGGCACAGTTGCTTTCCACCTAGGCGTCCTGAGCCCTGAGTCTACTTTGAACCCAGAGACAGGCTGGCTGGTGGTCCGAGGTCAGTCCTAGGCTATTCCCCACCACCCTCCAGCTTCTTGAGGCTTCTCTCTTTGGGTCTCAGGCCTTGACTAGACTCTTTAACACACAAGTCCTGGGGTGGCCTCTGTGAGGACCCTGGCCTGGACAGATCCCGGGAGTCATGGAAGTCCAAGAGCAAAGAGAAAAATGCTCATGGGGGACACTGAGGCAGCTCTGAGGCCCTGAAGACAGCTCCCAACCCACCTAGGGGCTAGTGGAGGCTGAGTGTCTGGAAAGCCAAGGCCTGATGACTGGGAAGGGGTAAATCAAACAAAGAATGGAGAGAGATGGCAATGGGCAGACAGATTTTCCAGAAACTAACCTACTTGCCAGGCGTGGTGGTGCACACCTGTAATCTCAGCCACTGGGAGGCTGAAACAGGACTGTGAGGGCAAGGCTAACCCAGGCAGCTTAGAGAAGCTCTGTCTCAGAATGAAATCTCACAAGAGGGCTGGAGGTGCAGCTCAGAGGTACAGTGCTTGCCCAGCAGGTGTGAAGCCCTGGGTTCCATCTCCATTGTCACAAGCCAAAGAACAACAAAAACCCCACTAACTTTGAGTGTCTGCCAATTTTCCTGGTGTAAAGACTTCCATCATGATGGAGTTAGTGCTATAGGCTGTGTGACAAACTTGCAAAATCCCTGCCTGTGTAGTGTGGGTGGCCTGCCCTGCACCATGAGCAGGATCGGTTCCCCAGAGGCCCCAAGGCTGGTGCACAGGTGTATAGGGGCGTGGCCCATGGGGGTGGGGGGACACAGGGGCAGGGCCTACCTGGGGGCACAGGCAGCTCCGCCACCTCCACTGCTCGGCCAGCTTTGTGGGCCCGGATGGCATCTTGGTATTGCTGCGGGGCACATGGGTGTCAAGGTGACAGGGGCAAGGTCTCAGGGTCCCCCACATTGGCCCCACACACACCTTGACAATGCGCTCGTGCATTCGCGCCTTCCGCTGGTCACCCTTGGCCTTGGCTTGGGCTGCAGCCACCTGGTACCGCTCCATGCGCTGCTCCAGTGCCTCCAGGAAGGTTCTCGGGGCTGGGGGAACCTCTGGGTCAGAAGGGGCAGGGTTGGGTTGGGTCCAGGAAAGGGGATTTGGTGCTCCCCAGCCTGTTTATCCCAGAGGGCTTTGGTAGCTCACCTGGCATGGCGGGGGCCGTGGGAAGAGCTGGAGGCTGCAGTGTTTGGGATGGTAGCTCTGGAGTCAGCTGGTCTGGGGTCAAAGAGGTCCAGGGTGATGAGGGGCTTGCCTGACCAGTCTGGCTTGCAGGGGACCTTGGGCCTAGCCCATGGGCAGCAGTGGGGGCAGGAGGGGTGCTCACCAGGTGGAGGGGGCAGGCAGGACAGGTCCACAGGCTCCCCTCGGCTCAGGGCCTCCAGGACAGCATCAAAGCTCTAGAAGAGGGAGGAGAGCAGGGCACGGGGAGCTGCAGCTGAGGGGCCAGGACCTCAAAAGCAGCAACCCCACACTGTCCTTCCCCTTCCACCACTGCTGGGGATGGAACCCAGGGGCTTCACGTTGTGCTACATCCCCGGCCTTTTTCAACTCTCTATTCTGAGATAGGGTCTCATTGAGTTGCCTGGAGTGGGCTCCAACTTTCCATCCTCCCGCCTCAATCTACCAGCATGCTGGGATTGCATGTGTGTGTCACGACTCCTGGCTTCCCTGTGTCATCTTATTCCATCTGCTTTTGACACTTATGCCCTTTTGCAGAGGAGGTAAACTGAGGCTCCAAGAGGTAAGGTGAACAAGAGCTAGGGAGTGGCTGAACTGGGATTCAACCTTGGGTCTGCCCGCCTCGATGTTGGCGGCACTGTGCCCACTCCTCAGCCCTGTCCCTCAGTCTGGACACACCTTGGCCACGCGGAAGTGTCTGGTGGCAGCCACGGTATCTCCCTGCTGCTTGGCGTGGAGGGCAGCCAGTTTGTAATCCCGCTGGCGGCTCTGTAACTGGGCCAGCAGACCAGAGCCACAGGGACCTGGGAGGGAGAATGAGGTACAAGGAACCACACAAACCATTTCTGCCTGGGTCTCATCAAGCCAGTTCTGAGCCCATTTTTAAATTAATAGATTGATTGACTGATTTATAGTTATTTTGAGACAGAGTCTCACTACATAGTGCAGCTGACTTTGAACTAAGTAGCCCAGGCTGTGTGAACTCACAGTGATCTCCTGCCTCAGCCTCTTGAGTGCTGGGATTAGAGGTGTGTGCCACCATGCCTGGCCTGAGTCCATTTTAGAGATGCAAAAACTAAGGCTGGTGGTGCAGCTCAGTAGTGAGCACTGGCCTAGCATGCGTGAGGCCCTGGGTTCCATCCCCAGCACCATAAAAACAAACAAACAAACAAACAAACAAACAAAAAGTAAAAAGAAAAAGTAAAACCTGAGGCTGAGAGTGAGGAGGCTGCCTTCTTAAGATTACACAGCTATGGGCCGGGGATTTAGCTCAGTGGTTCCGCTGCCTGCCTTGCAAGCGCAAGGACCCGAGTTTGATCCCCGGTACCAAAAAAAAAAGATTACACAGCTTGGGGCCGGGGATTTAGCTCAGTAGTTCCAGTGCTGGCCTCACAAGCGCAAGGTCCCGAGTTCGATCCCCGGTACCAAAAAAAAAAAAAATTACACAGCTTGAAGGTGGTGCTGTATGGACTCATCCCCAGGCCTGGAAGGCTGTGAGCCACTGTTGTTTTGATCCCAGGATTCCCGAAAACTTTACGGATACTTACATATCTTCAAGTTGACATTTGTCATTTTTCATCTTAAGATTAAAAAGTGGTTGAGGCTGTCACTCGGAGTGTCTTCCAAATATTGGTATTTTAAAGAGAACTGTTAAACCACTCTTTTGTGGTTGGGGGGTGCCTTTTTTTGGGTTGTAGGGCTGGAACTCAGGGCTGGGTATATGCTAAGCACATGCTCTACCACTGGGCCACACACCCTGAAGCCGGGGCTTTCACACCGAGCTACATTCTCCCCCGCTTTTTTTAGGTTTTCATTTTTTTTGTACTGGGGATCAAACTTGGAACCTTGTGCTTGCGAGGCAGGCGGTGGAACCACTGAGCTAAATCCCCAGCCGTAGGTTTTCATTTTGCGACAGGGTCTCACTAAGATGCTAAGGCTTGAACTTGCACTCCTCCTGCTTCAGCCTCCCAGAGTGCTGGGATGACAGGTGGGCACCATCACAACTAATTAAAGTATTTTAACTTTAAACTTTTTTTTTTTTTTCCGGTACCAGGGATCAAACTCAGGACTTTGAGCTTGCCAGGCAGGTGGCACACTACTGAGCTACATCCCCGGCTTTTAAACTTTGAACTGTAGAAAAAAAAAGTTATATAATCAACTTTTAACTTAGTAGCCTGTTATTTGGATTTTTTTGTTTTTGCTTTTTTTTTGTACCAGGGATCAAACTCAGGACCTTGCACTTGCAAGGCAGCAGCGGTACCACTGAGCTAAACATCCCTGGCCCAATAGCCTGTTTTAAATTTTTTTCTGGTGATTTGAAACTCACCAACATTCTCTCCTTATTTTGTTTTATTTTATAAGCTACAGTAAAATATATATAACATAAGTCACATCATCTTAACCGTTTCTGAGTGTAAAATTCAGTGGCATTAACTACATCCACGTCGCTGTGTAGCCGTCACCACCATCCATCTCCACGATTTTCTCACCTTCCCCCAACAGCACCTCTGTCCCCCTCTGCACAGCCTCCCTGTCCCTTCTCCTGCCCTAGCACCCACCATTCTACCTTCTGCCTCTATAACTGAGCTCTAGGCCACCTCCTATAAACAGAATCACGTAGTGATACTACCCTTTATGACTAGCTTATTTCACCCACTACACTATCCCCAGGTTCACTTATGTTATAGCATTTGCCCAAATTTCCTTCCTTTTGAAGGCTAAGTAATATTCCATGGCATGGATGGACCATATTTTGTGCACCCTTCCCACAGATAGCCTGTGTCATCCTGGCCCTGTTCACCACCTACCTGGGGCCAACTGGGGCTTAGCAGAGCCCAAGGACGAAGCAGGGGTGGCAGACAGGGAGCCCTCCAGGTTGGCCCTGGGATCTGAGGCTGGTAGGTTGGCAGGGCTGGGCGGGGGAGGTTCGGGGTTGTGGCTGGTCGCTGGGCCCTTCCCTACAGCCACAGGTGGTGGGATGTCCTCCTCATTGATGGTGTTGCCCTTTTGCACAGAGGCCAGCAGGTTTTCCAGTGTCTGGGACAAGAGAAAAGGGTGAATTTGGTAGAGGCCGGGGCATGGCATCTGTGCTGGGTTCTTAGCCCTGTGCCCACCACTCACTTTCAGCCCCCGGTCGTAGCGCCGCATCTTGGCACTGTCCCCAGCCTGCTGGGCACTTTCCATCGCCAGCTGGTAGAGGGTCAGCCTCTCCTGCAAAGTGGCCTCCAACCCAGGGTGGGGGGCTGAGGGCTTCGGCTGCAGGAGGGGCGGGAAGACAGTCGGGGCAGTGACATGGGCCATGCCTGCTGCCCCTGCCCAGCACTACTGTGTGTCACCCCCGGGCCAGCCACCCCCACCCCAGCAGGGCCAAAACTGTGGTCTCTGTGGGGGAAACTGGGGCTCTCAGGTGTCATGTCACCTGCCTGAGATCACACGGCTGAAAGTGGACAGGAGTGACCCTCGAACCCTAGGCCGTCTCTGGGGCTGTACCTGGGCCATGGGTGGCGGGGGGTCCGAGGCCTTCTGCTCCGCTCCGAGGACCTCATTTAACTCTGCCTGTGGGTGGGACATACGGCCGGAGTGGGACATGAGAGCCTGCCAGATGGAGACAATGGGACGAGAGGCTGCCCCTTCCCGGAGTGCTCACCAGCAGGTCATCATCGGCCTCTATGTCATCCTCATCTGTTCCTTCCTCCTCCTCCTCATCTGGGTCCTGCATGCACAACCTGGCCATCTTCTCAATGGCCTCCATGGGGAGGGGACCTGGTGGCAAGGGGAGGGTCCAGCTAGAACAGCATCCTGCCAGTAGACCCACCTCCCATCCGCCCAGCAGGGCCCTTCCTCACCCTTCCATAGCACCCCACTGTCCCAAGTGCTCCCTGCATGGTGTCACCCCCACCCTGCCTGCCCAGACTCCTCTAGTCCTATCCAGCCTCAGCTCTGCAGCTGGATGACCTGCTTTCTCACTGAGCATCTCTGGGCAAGTTGCTTTAGCTCTTTGGGCTTCAGTTTCCCACTTCGTTGCACGGGGATAACCTTGTTTTATGTGTAGCTCTGTTTAAAGACACCTTTAGCCTGTAACCTCAGCACTGGGAAGGCTGAGGCAAGAGAATCAGTGTGAGTTCGAGGCCAGACTGGGCTACACAGGGGGTTCAAGACCAGACTATATTATATAGCGAGCCCCTGTCTCAAGGAACCAAAAAGAGGGGGAAAAAAGGCATCTTATTTAATATATACCGTTGATGCATTAACAGTGTATTCTCAGCCAGCGTACCGTGAACAGGGAAATCACCAACAAAGAGCACAAAAATGAGAAACTGTGGCAGTAAACCGACAGGGAAAAGGACCCTGGTTTATTTTATTTTATTTTATTTTATTTTATTTTATTTTATTTTATTTTTTTGGTACCAGGGATCGAACTCAGGTCCTTGCACTTGCACAGCAGGAGGCGAAACCACTGAGCTAAATTCCTGGCCCAGGACCCTGGTTTATAACACAAGAGCTGAAACAGGAAGGCAGTGTCACCTGGTGCCACCCACCTCATGCCACTCAAACTTCACCATTTTAAGTTCTGTGCATGACCACAAATCACTGTAAGTACTGATTTGGGAGTTACAAGGAAATTCTTGCAAGTAGGCAAATTCATAAATGTGAAATTCACAAATAACAAGGGGTTGACCATATTAGCTATAATGTTTAAACGCTTCATTTGGCCTCTGGCTCTGAGTACACTCAACTACTGTAGAGTCTTCCACTCCCTGGCACCCACCATAGGGCCTTGGCACCTTCCACAACCCCTTCTAGGGTTCCCAACGCATAACCTGCCCTCTGTGTCTTGGATCATTCCTTCAAGAATCCTGCCCTGACACACAGGCCCTCCACGGCTCTGTACTTCCGCCATGCCAGGCCTCATCACAGAATGGCAGGTTGCACATTGGGACTGAAGACAGCATGAATTCATCATGTGTCAGGCAGCCTCGGAAGTACTTTATGAATCCTAGATTAACTCCTGTGATATAAGCAGTTATTAGTCCCACTTTAAAATTGTATTTATTTAAGACAAAGTCTCACTATGTAGCTCAGATTGGACTTGAATTCACTATGTAGCCCAGGCTGGCCTCAAACTTGTGGAGATCCTCCTGCCTCAGCCTTCCAAGTGATGGAATTACAAGCATGTGCCACCATGCTAGGCTTATTATTTGAATTTTACAGATGGGAAAACCAAGGTCAACACAGGTGATAAGATGAACAAGTGGCAGAGCTGGGATTCAAACCCTCAGTCTGTGTCCAGAGTTAACTGCTGACCCTCTCAGCCGAACTATGGGCTCTTGAAAGGCAGAGACTTTCTGTTTTCCTTCTCCTTTCTACCTAGTGTCCAGCTCTGAGACTAGCCCATGGTCAGAAATCTAAAAACATTCAGAAGTCCATTAAACATCTCACCTTTGCCTTTGAGCTTCCCCAGGGCTGCAGGCTGGCTACCCACCAAGGTCAAGAACTCAGCCTCCAGTTCCTCATTGTTAACTCCATCCTCGGGGATCATCAGGCCATCTGGGGAGAAGTCAACCAGCAGCCCAAGCTGTGGGAACAGTATGGGTCCAGTTAGACCTTATAACGTACCATGAATATGGCCAGAGGCAGCCATAATGGATCCCAAGTCCCCAGTGGAAGGAAGGAACCAAAGTCTCCTGGAACAAGCTGTTTCCCTGGGGAATGCCAGGAGGCTGGATCAAGCCAAGAATACAACAGGTGCCCCAACATGGGGCTGGCCCTTTGGCACAGATTAAATGAGGCAAAAGGCAAGCAGAGAGACTCAGCTCCCTACTGGGAGCCTGCACCTAAGATGTACTGCTAGCTAAATTCACTGGGGAAAGCAGGCCCACACCTGCCTAAGCCAGAGCCAGTCTGCACACTTGGGCTTTTCCTCCCAGCACCCTCTATGGCCCGTGGCCCAGCAGGAAGGTGGGGCATCAAGTGCAATTAAGAGTCCCCAACAACATGTAGAAGTTGAAAGTAGGTCATGGCTGTGTTGATCTACCTTCCTCATGATGTGATAATATTAAGTCGAACTATGTGAAATTGTAGTCAGGTGTCCAAGGTGATAAGGCCAAGAGGGAACACATAAGTCTCATATCTGAGCACTAAGCTATACTGTAGGCTCCCTTCATCAAAGCTACAAGGGAAGGAACCGAGCCACAGTCCTCTGGGCTTATGGATGCAGGCTTGGATTTCCTCTGGTCAGGTTGTTAATCCCTATGACCTTGGGCTGATGTCTTCACCTCTCTTGAGGCTCAGTGTCTTCATGTGTACAGTGGGAATAAGATCGGAATTGGCCCTGCCAATCCAAGGGTCTAATTGCTACCATTCCCTTCCTGTAGCTGCTGCGACAACAGGTGGCCCTGGAAAGGGGGCGGGACGCCAGGAGCTGGGGAGGCGGGCAGGACCCCTTGGCCGCACCTAGGGGAGCAAGGCTCACTTAGGGGGCGGAGATTTGGCGTCGCGGGGGGGGGGGGCTTCCCCGAGCGTGTATACGAGGGTGGGGAGGAGCTCCCCCGTGGGTCCGTGAGGGCGCACACTCACCTGGCGGGCGGCAGCGGCGCCTCGGCCTGGGGGTCCCGGGGGTCCCTTCCTCTTGTGCATTTTCCAGCCTGGATGCCCGGACCACCGGCCCCCGGCGCCTGGCCTTGCCCTACCTCTTCACCCTGAGACTGTCGCCGCACACACACCCCTCCCGAGTCCTGGGCCCCCCTTCAGTGTCCCGCGCCCGTCAACCCTGCGCCCTTGTTTCCCGGGGCGGCCGCCCGACTTCCGTCTCGGCCTTTAGGCGCTGCCGCACCGGAGCGCGCCACCCACCCTTGGACTCGCCGGGCCCGCCTCGTCGAAACTACATCTCCCGACAGGCGGTGCGTGGGAGCGCATGCGCCTGGTGGAGGTGCGACGGGCGCTGCCAAGGGTTGCGCGAAAAGGAAATGGAGCATGCGCAGGTGTGAGCGGCCCGACCTGGTATTGCGCGTGCGCGGGGCGGGAGGTCCTGGTGCGCGGAAAAGAGGCCGGTTGCGTGTAGGTGTGAGGGGCCCAGGTGTTCCGAGATTCTCACAGCGCGTGGCCGCGCACTGCCTCGGGCCTTGGTTGGGCTTTTGGGCCGGGGAATCCGCACTTTTCGGTGGCCATAGTGTTAGTGTGGGGCTGGTCACTAGGACCTGGGTCCGCAGTTATGGGCTTCTAGAGGTCACCACGGTCCTCGAGGACCAGTGTTACCATTTTCTGGAAGAAAGAAAAAAGTAATAGTAATTTACAGTAATTTAAGCGACTTATTCCTCAGCAGATCCATGCAAACCTCATTCCTGCTAAGGACAGAGGGACTTGGACGACTTCTGTGGGCCAGGTCGGTTGGGGCTCCTCTGGTCCCCAAGGCAGGAAGAACCCAGCCACTGGAGACCCCCGTCTCCCAAAGGCCCGGGCACCCCCAGTGGATCCTGAGGTCCCCAAGTAGCTTCTCAAAAGGAGTCCTCACATGTCCCCAGAAGGACCCAGGACACCCCAGCCTGGGGAAGGGGTCATCCCCTGGCCTGCACCCTGACTCAGCAACCGAGCCGGGGTCCCCAGGGTGGCCCACAGTATGGAGGGATGTGCCCTGTGTCCTGTCTTGTGTCCCTGGGTCCACTGACCCCTGGGGGCAGCCACACGGAGCTGGCGCAGGAGGTGATGCTTCTGTCCTCAGCCAAGGCCGCTGACAGGGACAGGGACTGCTTCTCGTAATAGAGATTCTGTTGTTTTCAGATTTCTCCAGGGAGAGATAGAATGAGTAAGAGGAAGAAACTTCGGACCGCAGGTATTTGGTTATTTAAGTTGACATTTTTTCTTTCCTTTTTTTTGATGATGTGGATGGAACTGGAGGCCTCTCTTAGGCTTAGGCAGTGGCTTTATCATGGAGCTGGACCCCTAGCCTCAAGTTGGTACTTTTTTTATTGTTATTTTTTAAAGAGACAGGGTCTCACTATGCTGGCTCAGGTTGGCCTTGAACTTCTGGGCTCCAGTGATCTTCCTGCCTCACCTTCCTGAGTAAGACAGGCACAAGCTGACTTAGGTCGGCGCTTATCTATTGCTGTGTCTGCTCATAGGAGGGATGTGGGCTTATATGTTGTAGAAATGCTGACATGACTGCCTCAATGTCCCTAAAAGAAAATGAAGATTTATTTATTTTTATTTTTTTTTGGTACCGGTGATCGAACTCGGGTCCTTGCACTCATGAGACAGGCCGCGGAACAACTGAGCTAAATCCCCCGGCCCCCAAAATGAAGATTTAATACAGGCTACTAGAAAAAATAGAAATTATAGACAAGGGCATGCAGTGAAAAGTGGAAGTTTTTCTTTCACCAGCCTCTGGTGGGGTCCCAGATGCACACTCGCAGGAACCATCCTATAGTAGATCTTGATGAGCTTCAAGGCAGTCTGCTGTGTGGCTAAGTGTTTCATTCTAGAGCCAAAAATTTTTGTTTATCCCAACTCAGCTCACTTTTTTTTTCTTTTGCAATATTGGGGATCGATTCCAGGGCCTTTGTACTTCCCTAGCCAATTTTTATTTTTTATCTTGAGAAAGTATTTCAAGTTCCTAAATTACCTAGGCTGGAGTTCAACTTGGCATCCACCTACCTCCGCCTCCTAGAGTGCTGGGATTCCCAGTGTGTGCCACCCCCATCGGGTGGATGTAATTTTTTCCCCAGATATTTTCTGTCTGTGGTTGGGTACATCTGTGGATAGGAACCCATTTACACAGAGAGCTGGTCAAATGTAGAGCAAGTGTTTTTATCAGAAAATGGAATGTTCACATACGGTAATCTGCACCTTGCATTTTTTACTTGTTAGTGTATCGCAATCAGTTTTATTTGTTAATGTACTGTATGTGTAGAATTTCTTGAGGACCAGGCTACAGCTCAGTGGTGAGTGCTTGCCTAGCATGTGCAAGGCCCTGGATTCCACCCCCAGCCCTGCCAAAAAAAATCTTGAACACCTAGTATTTCCTAGGGTGATTCAATGGTTTCCCTCTATGTCATCCTCTAAGGTAATTTAAATGCCTTAAAGAAGTAGAAATAATTTCTTTACTGGCGGGGGTGTGGAGAGAAAGGAACCCTTCTCCATTGTTGGTGGGAGTGCAGACTGGTGCAACCACTGTGGAAATCCGTATGGAGATACCTCAAAAAACCAGGTCCCATTTGATCCAGCTATTCCCCTCCTGGGAATCTTCCCAAAAGAATTAAAAGAATCATACCACAGCGATATATGTGCACCCATGTTTATAGTGGCACAGTTTGTAATAGCTAAAGCTTGGAAACAGCCCAGGTGCCCATCAACTGGAAACTGGATAAAGAAGATGTGGTTTTTTTATAAAATGAAGTATTACTCAGCCATAAAAAATGAGAAACTAGAGTCATTTATAGCTAAATGGATGCATATCGAGGCCGTACTCTTAAGTGAAATAAATAGGACACACATGAGTAAATACTGAATAGTATCTCTAGTGTGAGAAACTGAAAGTAAATAAGGATGAAAATGATTAAAACTAATAATTGATAATTTGAAATAGGAAAAGGTCCAAAGGTGGAGGGGTGGTGGGAGGGGAAGGGGAAGAAAGGAAAGGAAAAATTATGAGAAAGAAAAAAAATGGAAAGAAAGTCTATGTAAATAGGGAAGGTTGGTGGGGGTGAAGGGTGCATAGGTAATGGGGAAAAAATAAGAACTAAGATACATCATGTTCAGGTACAAACACCCAATGATAAATGGAAATGTATTGCATACCTAAAACGTACCAATTAATATATAAATAAAAAGAAATAACTTCTTTACTTAGCAAGTAATGGATTTAAAGTGCTGCTTCTGTTTTCTCTAAGATATGGAACAGAAGAAATAACCGATTAAACATGTTTTGTGCAGAGGTGAGGAACAGGCTGCCTGAGATGCAGGATGGGCTGGAGATAGCCAGGCCCACTCATGACAGGTCTTCTGGGGCCTCTCTTGGCGGCAGGCCCCCAGCTTGGCGGATTGTGGGCTGGCCCTTGACCGCTCTGTGGGTCCACAGATGGGCTAGAAGGAGGCCTTTTCCTTCCTTGTCTTTAGCCTTTGGTGTTGAACACAAGGTTCTGCCTTATTTTTCCCTAAATTAGTCCTATGGGGACAGATCACAGGAAGGAAATGGGCACTCTGCTGTGTCGATATTTTTATTTGATACAAATAACCCTGACCCTGACCCTGACCCTGACCCTAACCCTAAAACCCTAACAACCCTAACCCTAACCCTAACCCTAACCCGCCAAGCAAGCTAGTGTTTGGGGATCAATCTTAAGGAGCCAAGTAAACAGAGCTGCTCCTTTCTTTTTGTCTTTTTCTAGCAGACCACCAGGTGGAAAGCTGTTGCATAAGAAGGGCCTGGGATTTAACTCAGTGGTTCTGGCGCCTGCCTTGCAAGTGAAAGGTTTAGAGTTCAGATCCCCGGTACCACCGGAAAAAAAAAAAAAAAAAAAGATCCACGGAGCACTGCCTGGGAGCACAGTGCTTGTTGGCTGTAGGCTGTCAGGCAGAGCAAGGGTAAATAAAGGGTGCAGGAGCCTTGGTTCCAGCCCTGGAGCCACTCGAGGTCCATTTTAGGGGGAAGGAAGATGCTTCTCATGAAGACAACTAGCCAAGTAGTCACTGGTTGGGGACAGTTCTAAGTGGGCACACAGGAACGGAGCAGTCAGAATTGGAAATGACCAAGGGCTGGAGGTATAGCTCAGCTGCCATCCCTGCTACTCCAGAGGCTGAGGCAGTAGGATCGGAAGTTTGAGGCCATCCTGGCCAACTTAGTGAGACCCTGTCTCAAAATAAATAAAAAGGGCTTTGGGAGTATAGCACAGTGGTAGAGTGCTTACCTAGCATGTGTGAGAGCCTGGTTCTATCTCAGTGCACACACAAACACACAGATGTTTTAAGTTCATACAAGGCTAAGGTTGGACAGAATCTAAGAATTTCTTAGACTGAACCCCAGGAAGTCACTGTCTTGGATTATTCGTCTTTTTTTCCCCCTGCCTAGTCAGAAGCCCAGTCCACAGCAGGTACTCCATAAATGCGCCGGGACTCTTCAATCTGTGGGTGTGGCATTGAAATGGAGCCCAGCCTTGGTTCTGTGACCTCAGCCTTCTTCTGTAAGATGGTATCAGAGCTTCTTTACCTCGAAGTTTCATTGAAACCTACACAAATTGTTGGGCATGGTGGTGCATGCCTGTAATCCCAGCACTTGGGAGGCTGAGGCCAGAGGATTGCTGCAAGATCAAGGCCAGCCTGGGCTACATAGTGAGACCCTGTCTCAAAAATCCAAAAAGAAAAAAAAACACAAGTTGAGACAGGGTCTCACTATGTAGTTCAGGCTGGCCTTAAACTCACTATGGAGCCCAGGCTGGCTTCAAACTCATGGTTATCATCCTGCCTCAGCCTCCTGAGTTCTAGGATTACAGGCATGTGTCAACCCCCACTATCCCCTCCCAATTTGTTCTTGAACACAGGAGTAGGTTGAGCCAGGACTAGGGGCATCTCCCAAGCCAACCATGATTGTATTTTCTGAATAAGAGGGTTTCTTTCATTCAACAAATAGCTATCAAGAAGCCCCTTTGGGGCCGGGGATTTAGCTCAGTGGTTTTGATGCCTGCTGCACAAGCGCAAGGACCTGAGTTCAATACCCAGTGCCAAAAAAAAAAGAACCCCCTTTATTTTATTTTTACTTTTTTTGCAGTCCTGTTGATGGAACCCAGGACCCTGCACACACTAGCCAAGCACTCACTACTGAGCCATACCCTGACCCTAATAGCCACCTTGAGGCTTTTCAGTGGTGGGCAAGGGACTGAGGAATACTAGGGACTGAGTGGCAGCCAAGGCAGCCCCTCTGTGCCCTGTACCTCTCTGTCCCGCTGTCCCAGTATGGCTGTTCTGCTTGTGTCTCAGGAAACAGACATGATGCATGATTTGTGTTGTCTGCACCTGGTGATGGTGTTTTCTGTGTCCATTTCTGTGGTCATCTGTGCACCGAAGCACCAGCAGTTTCCTCGATGTCTCTTAGAGCAAGAGAGCAAGAGGAGCCCCCCTTGCACGAAGCCTGTGATCACGAGGGACACAGGAGCTGATCCCAAACCTCCAAGTCTTCCCCAAAAAACATGACATGATTAGGGGAGAACCAGGGCTGGGATGACGAGACTGTAGAGAAGCCAAGGACACCTCTCATCATACCTGCCATGCACCTCTTGCCACACCTGGCCACTTCGGGATTCTGGCTCAGTCCTGGCACAGGTCAGGAGCCTTGAAGTCTGTGGCCATGTAAGTAAATAGATCTCCCCTCGGCTGCCACATGAGCATTAGAGCGGGTCCCAGGCCAGAGAGGATCATGCCTCCTCAGCCACACCAGTGGCCCCGCCCTGTCCGGCTATCAGCCTGTATGGCAGAGCATGCACCCCATACCCCCACCCCTTCATCTCTGTCTCCAAACCAGGCCAAGGAATCCATCCCCCCAAACCTCCCAAGAACCCAAGGCCTGGAGACTCCAACGGGGGCTCCCGAAGTTCCAAGCTGGGCACCTTGCAGCACCCCAATGAGTCAGAAGACATCTCGACACCCACTACCCCTACAGAGCTCAGCGGGCAGGAGCCAGGGCCAGCTGTCTCCAGGTGGGTGGTTTAGGCATCCCAGTGGGCCTCCCATGCCATAGTGAACACCGTGCAGCCCTCCTGGGCTCAGGGCCATGGGCCTGCTACTCTGGGCTTTCCTCACTGGGAGAAAGATTGTGATTTTAACCATGGGCCCAGATAACATTGAGTTATTCAAGGTTCCAGAGTGCAACTTGATACTCTGCTGGTCAAATCTCTACCCTTTTGCATTCTTAACAAAAAAAGGGATGAGCCCCTGGCTGTGGTGGTGCAACCCCATAATGCCAGCACTCTGGAAGGCTGGGGCAGGAGAGTTGTCAGGTTTGGGCCAGCCTAGACAGTTTAGCAACTTGGTGAGACCCTGCCTCAAAACGAGAACCATAGGGCTGGGGATTTAGCTCAGTGATTTTGCCGCCTGCTGCGCAAGCGCAAGGACCCAAGTTCGATCCCCGGTACCAAAAAAAACAAAAACAAAAATGAAAACCATAAAAAAGAGCCAAGATAGAGCTCAGTGTGAAGGCCCTGAGTTCAGTTCCCAGTTTTCCAGGGATTTAACTCAGTGGCACTGTGCCTGCCTTACAGGCACAAGGTCCTGAGTTCAATCCCCGGTACCGTAAAAACAAAAACAAACAATTACGTTTTCCAAAAAAAGAGAAAAGAAATACAGTGTTTAACAGGCAATGTACAATAAGTGCTTTATCAATATTAGCTCATCAAATCATGGCATAAGTATTTGTTTATTTGTTTTTTGGTGCTGGGATAGGACCCAGAGGATGTGCTGGGCAAGTGCTCTACGCATGAGCTCCACCCCCAACCAGGGGGTGAGTGTGGTGAAGTAGCTGAGTGTCGTGGTGCATGCCTATGATCCTAGCACTTGGGAGGCTGAGGCATGAGGATCGCTGTGAATTTGAGGCCAGCCTGGGCTCCATAGTGAGTTCAAGTCCAGCCTGACCTATATATAGCAAGACCCTGTATCAAAAAACAAGTAATAACAGTAACAAAAAATGCAAAGCGACAGTGTAGGAGGACCCAGATGCCTCTCTATGTGTCTTTCTCCACCCAGCTTCTCTGAGGAGACGGCAGCTGCCTCCCTCCTGGAGCAACTAGAAAAAGAGGCCTCCTTCTTTCCCGATTCCCAGGTGAGCTACTCCATGGCCTGCTGTGTGTCTGGGAGACACTGGAAGCATGGGTTCTGTGTGTACCCTTTGAGGGCAGATGCTGGCCTGCAGGGTGGAGCTGGTTGAGGCAGGTGTCTGAGGCTGCAGGAGAGAAGTGGCTCAGGCTTACTTTTTCTGAGACATTCTTCTTTATCCTTACTGGTTTGTTCTCATGTCCCATTCACAGACCTCACTTGGGAGATTTGTCCCTCAGTTTGCAAAACCCGGGAAAATAGTGACAAGAAAAGCAAAGACAATGGAAGAGGATACCGAGAGGAGGGCTGTTAGCCTGGTAAGACCCCTAACGTGGGCCTCACTGAGCCCCGTGCACAAGCAGCCTCTGCACCCAGTTTAACCTTAGCTGTCTGTGGCAACAGGCTGGGGCCTCACGCACATAGGGAAGAGCTCTACCACTGACCTACACCCCCAGCTCGTTTTATTTTGAGACAAGTTCTGAGTTGCCCAGGCTGGCTCTAACTTGTGATCTTCCTGCCTCAGCCTCCCCAGTCACTGAGATTACAGTGTGCATCACTGCACCAGGGCCGAGTCCCCCATTTTCAGTGCACTGTTGTCCAGACACCTGTGGAGTGTGCCCCGGATGCTGCTCTGGCAGCCCACATGGGGACAGTAGAACCCTGAAAGGTAGCCATCACTCTGTCCCTGACCTCTGCTTTTCAGGGGCCTTTGTGCCAGTTGGGTGCCCTTGCCATTGTGAACTACAGGGGTCACAATGTCCCTGAGAGTGGGCAGTAATGCCATGCACTGGGAACACCCCAGATAGCCTTCAAGGGGTGCACGGTCAAATGAATCATGGTTCTTCTGTGCCCTGGGCCAGGACTCAGTAATAAAAAGCAACAAAGCATTAGTAACACAAAAAATGTGGAGGTCAGATGAGTGGTTGCCAGGGTCAGAGGCAGGGTGGGCAGGGCACATGAGGGGACAGGTGAAGCTGGACAAGGTCCATGGGGTGGCTGTGGTAATGGAGATGCAGCCCTCCAGGGGGAAGAGGAGCTCATGGAGTGGCCACACAGATCTGGGCTGGTGGCCCCAGGAGGTCTGCATCTGTACCACTTCTTACCACAACATGAATCTGCAGCTATCACACAATAGAAAAGTGTAATTTAACAAAAGGAGGATGTTTGTTCGAGAATTGAAGCTGTGTGGAAGAGACTAACAGGGAAATGTTGTGTGTATTTTAACACAGTTTCTTTCTTTTTTATTTTATGTTATGCTGTGCTGAGGTGAGGATGGACCCTAGGGCCTCATGTGTGCTAGGCAAGCGCCTTATCCCTGAGCTGCATCCCAGCAGTGTACCCTCCCTCCCGTCTCCTGCCCTCTCCTCCCCCCACTTTTTTTTGGCTGTGCTGGACATGGAACTGAGGGAGCCCTGAGCTACAACCTTAGCCCTTTTTTATTTTTTATTTGGAGACAGGGTCCCGCTAAATTGCCCAAGCTAACCTTGAATTTACAATCCTCCTGCCTTAGCCTCTTAAGTAGTTGGGGTTACACCCCACCTGGCTCAGTTATTTTTTTTAGTGGTTTATTTTATTTAAATTGGTATTTCCATCATCTCAACATGTGATTGCTATTTACTTATCTAATGGTTCTGGGGATGGAAATGTTTCCTCTACCACTGAGCTGCACCTCGAGCCCCCACCACCTGGATTTTTGCATCCCCGATCTTGCCAAAGTGCTTGGTGCCCAAAAGGAGTAGAACCTGGTGGCAGGAGAGTTTCAGTACATCCATTTCCACTTCTGGTTCCTCCTCCAGCAGCAGCTCAGAGCTCTGCTGAGTGCTGGTGCTGGTGCCCTTGGAGGTGCATAGTGTGGTACAGGGTCTTCGTCTTGGGACAGGTGAGGTACCAGCCAGAGAAGCATTCAGAGGACTTATGCTAGAGGCCCCAGGACTGAGTTTCTCTCTCTGCACAGGAAGCCCTGCCCAACCCCAGTGCCCCATGGCAGCTGGAGGGATCCCTGGGACCAAGAGCTCAGATGCCAGCAGATAACCCCCACTTGGAGCAGAGCGGCCAGAAACCCGGGACACCTGTGCCCGGAGAAGGGACAGGATCCTGTAACTCAGAGATGGCCAGCCAGGACCCAGTGTCAGAGCAAGGGACCAGCACATCAGATGGCGGGAACCTGTGGAGCAGTGGGCCTGAGAGGTCTCAGGTGCCAAATGATCTTGCCCCCAAAAGGAATCATCCCTGCAGTGGTGCTGAAGGGATGAAGCCAGCACGAGGAGCTCCCCAGGAGGGAGGTGCCCAGAATGGGACCCCAGAAGAAGGAGGTGGCATCACCAACGGCCTTGTGTCCGCTCCCACCTTGGCCACACTGTGCGTGAAGACCTTCCCTACACCACAGGACCTCCCAGACCCCAGAGAGACACCCACAGGGGCAGGCAGGCAGGCAGAGTGCAGCTGTGGTGGCCCAGTATGTGCCTGCCTGGGGAGTGCTGTCATGGAGAACACGAGCACAGATGCCCCTGAGACAGAACAGAGGACCCTGAGGGTGGCCGGGCCAGGTGTGCAGCCTGACACCCAGCCTCCTGCCTCTCCTGGAAAGCACACCCTGCAGGGCTGCAGGTCTCTGGCTGAGGAGACCACAGGGGACAGGGGGGAGGCAGAGCCAGAACATGAGCCCCCCAGTGACACCCTAAGGAACCCTGAAGCCTTTTGGGCTGTGGTTCTGGGAAACCAAGAGCCTACACGAGATGCTAAAAACCCTGGCAACCCAGTGCCAGATGTGGGCCCAGGCGTTCATCAGCCTGGCCCTGCTGCCCATGTCCTGCCTTCATTGGCACAGCTTGGAGACAGACAAGTAGCAGAGTCAGGCAGTCAGTGCCTTGAAGGAGGCTGCACTGGGCTCAGCCTGGCCCTCTGTGCCTTATGTCCTCCGGAGCACAGGGCTGCTACCAATGGCCCTCTCTGGGAGGCCAGGGCCCAACAGGGCAGCCTGGAAGCCCCCACAGACCCACCAGGCCCACTCCAGCACTCTCTGGACTCTTTGAGTCAGGCCGGGTGGCCAGAGTCCTTGACCATGGAGCTTGACTTCCTGCCCGACAGCCAGCTTCGGGATGCCCTGGATGCCCCTGATTTGGAAGCCCCACTTGAGCAGGTAAGAGCTTCCCTGTAGCAATGATGGACCATCCCACAGCAGGTGCCAAACAGCTGTGAGCCCTGTCCCTATGCTGCCCACTGTGTAGGAAAGATGGGGCTCACATGTGGCAATCCAGGGATCCTACACACAAGTGGCTGGGATGACAGGTGCGTGCTACTGCACCTGGGTGAGTTACAGCTTTGGTGGGTGTTCCATCTGTTTTTCCAGAAAGGACACAGCTGCCTTTCTGTAAAGGGTCCAAAATGTATGGCTGCCAAGGGGCCCCGGATAGTAACAGATGACTTTGCCACTCTGAGGCCTCCCCTGCCAAAACCAGAGCCCCTGAGGGTGCCAGCACCTGGCAACTTTGTGCCCACCTGCTGCACCTTCCTACTCTCTGGCTCCAGGCTCCTCAAGAAATATTGAGGGGAGGAGACTAACAAGGTGACCTGAAGAAGCAAGCTAGTCTCACAGCTGGCCTGGGGAGGGGACTTCATTCCTAACCTGGAAGAGGCTTTGTCCCCTATCTGGACATGGAAATGCAGGCCTGTCATCCTAGTACTTTGGGAAGCTGAGGCAAGAGGATCATGAGTTCATGTCCCTCCTGAGCAACTTCGTGAGACCCTGTATCAAAATAAAATAATAAAGGGGTTGGGGTGTTGCTCAGTGATAGAGTGGGTGTCTTGAATGCCTGTGGCCCTGGGCTCCCTCCCCAGTGCTTCCCACACACAGACCCTTCACCCTGCTTCAGGTTCAGTTGGGGGCCTGAGATGATTCTTTGATGGGCACACAGAAGTAATTGTGTTTCTCTGCCAACATCGGAAAGGGCCTTGCTTCCTTCAGAGGCTGCCTGGACGCTGTCTGCCCTGGCCACTGAGTCTGTGCCAGGCACTTGCTTCACCTGTCAGGGCAGGTGGCAGCCTAATGACAGCCCTGTCCCCTGGGCCAATGTGTGACACACCTGGCTGTTGGCACACCTGAGCCCAGGAGAGGATTCCTGCTGTGCCCTGGGAGGTAGAGGTGGCCTTCCCACAAGTGGGTGGCATGGAAAGAGTGCCTGCCCAAGGGGAGGCGGCTGGCTGGCTGTCCCAAATTGGCTGCTCCTGGTGGCCTCAGCCACCCATCCTGGAACACGAGCCCAATGCTTCCAGACATTGGCCACTGTCTCTCTGGCTGTATACTGGCTGTCCCTGTCAAGGCTATTTTTTTACTTATTACAGAGCTGTGGCTGAAACCCAGGACCTCACACATGCTAGGCAAGTGCTCTGCCACTGAGCTACACCCCCAGCCTGCTGGTTGAGATGCTTTTAAAAAATTCATTCAGTGAATATTACTATTATTTTGATGGTTCTGGGAATTGAACCCGGGGCCTTCACACTGAACTACATGCCCAGCTCTTTTTTAATTTTTTATTTTGAGACAGGGTCTTGCTAAGTCACTAAGTTTCCAGGCTGGGCTTAAATTAAGCTTGCAACCCTCCTGCCTCAGCCTCCCAGACTGGTGGGATGACAGGTGTGCGCCACTGTGCCTGGCTTGCATGCATATTATGGAGTGCCTGCTTTGTGACAGCAGTGAACAGATTCTGGGCATTCACAACATCCCCATTCCCGAGTGTGGCCTCATTGGGAGCTTTGTGTATACTGTCATTCCTTCTCCTAGAGAGGTTTTCCTAAGGCACAGTCCCACAGTTTCACGAAGGCAAACAGTTTCATCCTGCGCACCTCTGAAGAAACAGCCAGCTAGGAACTGGGGCACTTGCCTAGCACATGTGAGGTCCCAGGTTCCATCCCAGCACTGCAGAAAAAGGAAGGGAGGGAGGATGAAAAGAGAGAAAGAAAGAAAACCAGCCAGGCCAGTGTGGGCCGAGGCAGACAGTCGAGTGGTCAGACCCCACTGGCAGCCCCAGCCAGCATGGTGCCTGCACCTGCTCGCTTAACACTGGGTGTTCCTGAGCAAGTCTGGGCAACCTAGCCAACGAGCAGGTTCCTGTGGGAAGGGAAGGCTGCAGGGACTCTTTTGAATGCACCTGAAGCAGACAGTGAGTGACCTCACCATGGTGTCACCATGCAGTCACCCATTCCCCATTCAGACCACCACGACCTCCTCACAGTAGTCTGGTGCTGTGTCCTGCTGCTCCATGCACACCCTTAGTTATGCACAAGGTGATCAGCACTCTGCAGGTGCAAATGAGACCCCGCGTTCCATCCCTAGCACTGAAAGGAAAGCTGATTCCCAGGTCCCTCCTGGGTCCTTGTTACCCACTGGTCATCTATAGCCAGGGTCCTTGGCACTTTCAGTGTCACAGCCACAGTCACTGGATATGGGACATGGGGCTGTATGTGCAAGCACAGAGTGGCCCCCCATCGGGTCCCAGTCTTTCCTGCACACTGGCATTTGGGGACAGATCTTTTTCTGCTTGGGGACTTCTCCTGGGCTGCAGCAGCACCCAGGCCTCCGCCCTCCTGGTTGTGAGCCCCGGAGCATGTGGGGTATCCCCCAGGGCACGCAGGCACCCCCATGTTAGTTACCTTGGGTTCACAGTCTCTTCATCCCGTAGCCTAGTCAGTGGCTGTGTTCAAGGACATCTTCAGAACAGGCCCCTTGCCAGGCATGGTTGTACTGTGGGAGGCTGAGGCAGGAGAATCAAGTTCTAGCCCAGCCCAGGTAACTTAGTAACAGTGAGATCTTGTCTCAAAATTTTAAAAAAAGAGGGCCAGGGATTTGGCTCAGTGGTGCCACGCCTTCCTCAAGGTCCTGACTTTGATCCCCGGTACTGGAAAAAAAAATTTTTTTTAAGTGTTTTTTTTTGTTTTTTTTTTAAAGGGCTGGAGGAGGGCTGGAGATTTAGCTCAGTGGTTCCACCACCAGCCTCAGAAACGCAAGGTCCTGAGTTTGATTCCCCAGTACCAAAAAAAAAAAGGGCTGGAGGTGTAGCTCTGAGGGAAAGCCCTTGCTTCAATCCCCACTACTGTGTTACCAAAAAAAGGTGATAACAGGCCCCACAGCAGTCTTTAGGGACTCAGAACTCAATGAGTCCCCACTCCCATCAGTGTACGCCAATTTGGAGGACAGGGCCCAAGGCCTGGGCCAGACCTCAAGAGAAGTGGAGCAGCTGGCCTAGCTGTCGCAGGTCCCCTGTGTCCGCCTCTGTGTCCCCAGTGCAGCTAAGGCAAAGACTGCCGCCTCTGTTGCCTGAGCTTCCTCTCTGGCCCAGCTAGGCCACTCACCCCTTGTGCTCTCTCCCTCTAGGATGCTTCCACAGAGAATGAGTCAGGCCTCTGTTGGCCTTGCCCCAGCCTCAGTGCTGGTGGGGGAAACCGAGTCCCAGTGGTGGAGGCCCAGCCAAGGTAGGCGTGGGGTGGGAGCATGCGCCCTAGTTCTCCCTGCTGGCTTCCCAGTCCTCATCCAACAGAGCAGCAGAGCCTGGATTTCCAACTGCCCAAGACCTCCTGTGCCCCAGAGTGGGGACAGGTAACCAGCAATCTGTACCCAGACCAAGAGCCCCAGTGCCCAGGACGCGGCCCCCCACCTGCGGGTGGTTCTGGGAAGAGGGGGAGTCCTAAGAAGAAGGCCTGTGCTATCTCTGAACCCTATGAAGCAGGAAGGGAGATAGTGCCAATGCTGTAGGCTGAGGTAACTTGGGGCCGCACTCAGCTCTGGCCCTGGGCAGGCGTTCCAGTGACCCTGACCTGACCTATCACCTGTCCTGGCTGCTGGCTGTACACAGCAGTGGGCCCCTCCTCTCTCCATCTCTGCGCATGCACGTGCATGCCTTCCTGGCCCAACAGTCTCCATGGTGCGCCCCCCCCCCCATCTGCCCCCCCCGACTCTGCCACTGGGGCCAGCACAGGACTGGCAGCATCCTCCCCATTGCGTGCACTTGAACCTGCCCTACTTATCAATTATTCATGGCCAGGTTTCTTTTTTCCTTCTGGCCAGTGTGGAGCAGGGGTTGGGGCACAGCCTTGGCCTCCTTTGTACCCTTCCCCTTCTCTTTTTCTTCCTCTCCACAGCAGCAGAGCAGCCACACCCCAGCCCCTGCCCTTGTCCACTCTGCACCTAGTTCCCGTGGTGCCATTCTGTCCCTGGAACACTTCCACGCAGCTTTCAGGTGCAGCAGGCAGTTTGGGCACAGTGGTTCCTCCACATCTGAGCAGAATGGGCTGATGTCACATCTCATTCTCCCAGCAGCCTCTTTGTGCCACTCTGCTGGCCTTGCATGTCCAGGAGCCCTGGGGAGGGAAAAGCTTAGGGCCTGACAGGTGGCTGAGGCGGAACAGAACACGCATGTGGCCTAGCCCCGGGGCAGCCAGTGCCTCTTGGTGACCAGGCTGGGTGTGGCAGAACCAAGATCTCTGTAAGGACCACCAGTCTGCACAAGGGCAGCTGACTGGGCCACCTGACCCATGATGCAGCAGAGGCATGACGACAGCAGCTGGTGGGGGAGAGGTTAAAATCCAGCCACGATAAGCAAGGCCTCAGCAGCCAAGGGGCAGAATGTGAAGAGGAGGCTATGTGGAGTAGTTGTGGCGAGAGGGGATGGGTCCCTGCAGTGTGGGCGGGTGATGCCAGTTTGGCCCTCCCAGCCCCTGGTGGTATGTGGAGGGTGGGCTGCAGGGATAGGAGCTGAGGGGTCTGGAGGGGCCAGAGCAGTGGGGAGCTGTGGATTCTCGATGAGCTCTGGCCTTGGGGGTTGGCAAATCCCACATCTGAAAAGCATGAGGGCTCAGGTTGGGGAAACCCTGGCAGTGGTGGGAGGCCAGCTTGCTCCCTTCCCTCCCTCAGGATAGAAGACGCCTCAGACACGGTGCACGGCCTCATTGTGGAGCTGTCGAACCTGAAGTAAGGGCTGGGCTTGGTCCACAGGGTGCAGCAGAGAGCATAGAGCCCTGGAGGCAGGTGGGAAGGCCCAGGGGTTCATGGAGAAACTGAGGAAGGACTCCTGCATGTGGGCATCAAGGGTCAGGAGCTCCCTTACAGAACTAGACAGTGGTTGGGTAACGGGAGATCACGTGCATGGGCAGTGGTGGTGTGCATGTGGAGGCCTCGGTGACCGACCTGCCTGACAGCATGTGCATGTTATGTCCCCACAGCCGGCTGATTATGAGCGCCCACCGTGACCTAGAAGCCTTCAAGCGCCTTAGCTCCAGAAAGGCCCGGCCTTTGCCCTGGCCACCAAAGGGGGCTGGGGCCGTGTCCCGGGGTGAACAGCCCTGGAGGGATCTGTAAGTCTCTCTGCCACCCTGTTCTTCTGTCTGCTCCCACCTAGTGTTTTGTTTCCAAGATGCTCCAGGGGTTCCTAGCAACCTCCCCATCAGCTGGAAATTCGCCTTGCAAGGACACACAGCCCCAGGTGGGGTGGGGTCTCCTGTGGGGGGCATGTGTAGGCAACACCCTGAAGCCCCACAGAGACAGTGAGCACTCCATAAAGTCAGTGACTCTTGAATCTGAGGTTTATCTAATTTGTTAAAGGTTAGATTTGGAATTTCTCTCCTGGAGGAGCACAGGGTCCTCTTTGTTGATTGTATCTTCCTGTCTGCCACTTTCCATTTTATTTCTTCCAGGAAGACCAGTAATAAAAAGTGACACTGTCAGGAGGTCTGTGTTCTCCCCTCCCTTGGCTTTCTGCCAGATCTCTCCCCACTGTCTATGCCTAACCTACTTCCTCTTCTTCCAGCCTCATATTTTGGGGCCTGCATGGCATCCCCAGGGGCTGTGGAGGGTGCTGTCCTGAGCCCCCAAAGGGGTGGCACACATCCAGCTGCCCACAGCTACCCATGGCTGGCACCCTGCAGGAGCCAGTGCTAGGGTAGCCCATCCTGCCTCGGACAAGCTGTCTCCAGACTCCAGTCAGCAAGGAGGGGGACCTTGGCTCTGCCACTCCTCTGCCTGTGGTTCGCACACCCAAGTCTCTTCTTACCCCTGAGACCTAGTACAGGAGGGCCCTGGGCCATGCCTTAGTGTCCCCCAGGCCTAGGTCCTAATCCCAGTCACTCTAGCTATGAAGTGCAGTCTCCAGGTGGTTACAAGGCCTCTGAGGCCAGAAAGCAGCCCCCCTTCCTTCTGACCCCTTGGGCCTGGGCCCAGCTAGGGGTCTATCCCCCCGACCCCAGAGCCTGTCGTCCTCCTCCTGGGAGCTCAAGTCCCCTTCAAGTCAGGAAGCTAGAAGGGCCCTTGAAGTCCAATTCCTGTCCCCTCTGCTCAAACCCTGGGACTCTATGAGCTGGATGGAGCCCAGACCCCCCAGGCCAGTTCAGGGCTGAACTGAGGCGCTGGCTCTCAGGACCAATGTGGTCCTGGAGGGGCAGGCAGGGACATAGGGACCCCCCAAGGGGAGTCCCCTAGGGAAACTGGGTCCTCCCCAGGGCCTCTGCTACCGGACTTCACACCACACACATCCCATTCATTCCCGGGTCCGTGTTCTTCAGGTCTCTGAAGTGCCACCGGAGACCCCACTGCCCTTGAGACCCACGCTGATATAACTACTCCCCGAGGGACCCCCTTAGGGAAGGAAAACAGGTTTGGGTCTGTCTCCCGACTCCCCCAAAAGCAAGCCCCCCACCCCCGTACAGTTTGCAGAGTGAAGACAAAAAAGGCTTCCCGCTGTTAACCTTGTGAGGAGTGGCGCTCAGTCTTCTGGGTTTTTTTTTTTTTTACCTCTCCTGTTTCTTGACACCCCAGGTTAACCTGAAATTCAAAGAGCGAGCGGCACTGGTAGGGCTGGGTAGAGGAATCCCCGCTTCCCAGCTCCTCTGCTCTCAAGGGCGCGTACTAGAAAGGCGAATACCACGTCCCAAGCCTGCGCCGTTAGAGGCGATGTTTATTCAGCGCTGAGTAGGTGGAGCCTAAGCGCCACACGCTGCAGGGGTCCTGCGAAGGGCTGGGGGCGTGTCCTCGGGAACCAGGGCGGGATCGGAGGCGTGTCCCCCGAGGGGCGGGTCTCCCAAAGGCCCGCCTCCGCCGAGGTCCCTGTGATGGAGGCAGCATTCTGTCCCCGCCCCGGACTCCTAGGCGGACGTGGTGGGACCGCAGGCGGAAGGCGAAGGTGCAGCCACCTTCCCAGCACCTTTGGAACCTGGAGGAGAAAAGCAGTGGGGACCATCTTACAAGGCGATGACTCCGCGCTTCCGGAATACCGCAGTTCCACCTGGGGGCTGCCAGGCTCGGGCGCCACCTAGGGGCTACTTCTGAGATAGTGTTTCTGTGATACTCCTGGACCAGGGCGGCCGCCCGGGACCCAAAGCCCGAACCAAAGCACAGAACTTCCAACTCTGAGTGCCATGCTGCCCCCTCGTGGCCGCCGGGCTCTGGGGACCCCGCTAGGGAGAAGCTACCAAGACCGCGGCCTCCAGCTGTCTGACTACGGGGTGACGGCTGCCCACCCCAACCCAGGCCCCGGAGGGAGAGCAAGAGTTCCTGTGCCCGCAAATACAAGGGGAAAAGGGCGCCGGGCGTGGGGGTGGGCGCCTAGGATCCCAGCACTTGGGGAAGCTGAGGCAGGACGATGGCAAGTTTCAGCCCAGCAACTTAGTGAGACCCTGTCCCTCCCTCATAAAGGAGGGGGTTCGATGCCCAGCACTGCAAAAACAAAACAAAACAAAACTCTTCTACAAAGCTGGAGGGTTAGGGTGGAGGGGCCATCCCGATCCAGGCTCCATCCCCAGGAGCTCCCAGGCTGACAAGGGGAGGCAGCGCCCACCTGCTCTGCGCTGTGGGCTGACTTCCTCGAAGGCCACTGAATTCCCTAGAACACATTCTCTTTTAAAACTCCACATATCTGAGCTCTGTCGCACCTGTAGTAACAACAACCACTGCAGCTCTTTCTCGGAGTTGTGGGAAATGCAGACGCCCAGGCTCCACCCAGGCCCAGTGGGTGGAGTCTGTATTTGCTGAACATTTTAGGGCAATGAACCCCCACGTAGAGCTGGAGCAGTGGGAGGGAAGTCGACTCCAGCTGTGCTAAATGGAAAACAGTGCAGCCCACCGTGTCCCTAGCCCACTCCTCCCTCCCCTCCTTTCTATTTTGGGCTCCTCCTTTGCAAGGGTCTGCACCCTCAGCTGAGGCCCAGAACACTACTCAGCCCTCCTCCTATACACTCTGTGGCTCCCTAGTGCCTAAGTCTACCCCCCACCATCCAGCATTGGGGATAGACCCAATGCCTTGCCACTAAGCTACATCCCCAGCCCTTTCTAGTTTTTACTTTGAGACAGTCTTAAATTCCTAAGGTGCCCCAGGCTGGCTTGAATTTGTGACCCTCCTGCCTCAGTGTCCCAGAATGCTGGGATTACAGGTATGTGCCACCAGGCCTAAATCTAAACCCTTTAAAAGAATCGACCCCCCCCCCGACCTACAAGCCTCCTTCTTGTCCCTAAACTCTCCCACCACCTAGGCACACACACTTCAGACCAGACACACTGAACTTCTCCACGTTCTGGGCCAGTGCCACAATCAGCTCTCTGATAACTCTACTAGGCTGCAGGAGGCACCTCCTCCAGGAAGCCCTCCCAGACTCTGTCTCCTGAACCAGATGCATCCTCTAGACACCCCATTTAGCACCCAGCACCTGATTTCCACTGTCACTCTCTCATCCACCTTTCCACTGACACAGCCAGCCCATGAAACTATTTGGCCAATGAGCTAACAGATGAAGTCAGTGCAGAGAGGCTGGGCAACTTCTCTCGGTCCATGCAGCTAGCTCCTAACTGCTAGTGCAATCTGGTCCCTCTGTACCTGTGGCGGAGGGCACCGCTATGCCTGCCCCATGACCTCCTGGCAGATTGACCCCACGTCTGGAAGAGGACGGCATTATCCCGCTGGGCCCAAAGAGGGACAGTGGCTTGCTAAGACCACACAGAAGATGCCAGGTTCCAGATTCTCTGCTGTGGCAACATTTCTAGATGCTGTTTTATTTTTTTTTTTTGTCTTTTTCTTTTTTTTAAGACAGGGTCTACTCACTATGTTCTAGTTGGGCTCGAACTCAGGCAATCCTCTGCCTCAGCCTCCTGAGCACTGGGATTACAGGTGTCCAGCACCATGCCCAGTCTAGATGCTGTTTTAAGCTCCACACAATGTCCCCCTAAGCCCTATGGGGTGAGTGCTGCAGTTATTGCAGAGGTACCAAGGGGCTCCACCACTAGCCTGAGACAAGTCCCTTCCACATCCGTCCCCAGCCACCTGCACTGCACCTGCTATTACTGCTGGTGCTGCTGCTCCTGCCCCACCTCCTCCTGCTCGGCGGTGGTGGCTGGTGTCCTGCATCCTCGCCTTGTCGGGCCGGGACACCCTCTTGCCAGCTGAGTTGCGAGTGGTGTAGCTGTAGACAGAGGTGTAGCCCTGGCCAGTGAGCGGGCAGAAGCGGCGGGTGTGGGCGCGCTCCCGAGTGGCCCCACACTGGGGACACACGTAGTCACGCAGGATGGGGCACAGCACCCTGCCCGCCTCGTCCTTCAGCACATGGGACTGGTAGATGGCCCTCGACTCGCCGTTGTGCTTGCAGAAGGAGCATAGGCGCTCGGGGGCAGCTGGGGGTTCTGAGCTCAGTTTCTGGTCCTCTGGTTCAGGAGCTGTGGTCACTGGAAGCTCAGGCTGGGGGTCCACCCTGGCCTCAGGCTCCTCTTCCCCATGTAGAGCCCCAATGAGGCCTGCAAGCCCCAGGTAGTCTGTCCACAGGTCAAAAGTCCCCATAGCTGGTGCACAAGTGCCAGGCAAGGGCAGAGGGCAGAAAGCCTGCCTGGCCCAGGCTTCCTGCTCAGCCCCAGCTCCCACTCTTCCTCCTCTCCTCCCAAGCCCTGGGGCCTGAGAGTCTGGGCTGCTCCTCTCCTTTTACCTCTGAGAGTGCTGGGAGGGGAGGAGGGGTTGGGGGAGGCTCCTAAGGTTGCAGGGGGCTGTGCCAGGGCCACAGGGAGTCCTTGGGGGCCTAGGTGACAGGATGGTTGCAGGGGGCACCCACAACCTGCACACACCAGCCAGGTCATTTGGGGGCTGCTCCTAGTGGGAGGCCTCCCCTCCAGCCTCCCCCCGGGTGATGGGCCAGGTGATGGCTGAGATCTCTGCCCTAAAGACAGGGCTGAGGTTACCAGCAACTTAGTAATTTCTTTCTTCCCCTGGGCTCTTGGGGTGAGGCAGTGTAGCTCTCTAGAAGGAAAGAGGGTGTCCCCTGACTCTCATAGAGCGGGGACAGGGCCGACCTCTCTCCTGGAGTGTTCACACCTCCTTGTCTCCGCATAAGCCCACCAGGCTGAGGGGATTTATAAAGACAAGACTGTCCCAGGAGGCCCAAGGCCAGGGCTGGGATCCAGGGAGGAGGGGGTGAGATGGAAATCCCTGGGGCAGGAGGAGTGGGATAGCTGGGGTGCAGTTCCACAGGTTCCTCTGATGGGGGACCCCCACCACCTGCAGCTCTTTGATCCTTTCCAATCAAAGGAGACCTCAGGGGTGAGGTCAGAAGGTGAGGTGTTTCCAGGAGTGACATAGCTGTGACACAGACCTCCGGGCACCCAGATCAGCAAAGCTGAAGCCTACAAGCCAAGACCTGGGCCCACCTGGAAGAAGTCGTGATGTCTCCACACTCCATCCATCCACCTATCCATCCGTCCATCCACTTATCTATCCATCCTTGCACCCACCCACCCCATCTGTCATTCACTCATCCATCATCCATCTGTCATGCCCTCATCCATCCACCCATCCTTCATCCATTCATCCATCCATCATCCACTCATCTATCCAGAGTACATTCATAATTCATTCACCTAGCTGTCCATTCAGCCATCCAAGAAAACTTTATTGAGCAAAACTCACCATGCCCTTTCAGAAAGGGGTTTTCAGCCTTTGGGTCCCCAGTCTGTGATTCCCCCACACCCAACCCTCCAGCATCTATTCCCTGATCCAATCTGTGTACATCAAAATCACAGATGCCAAACGGGTTGATGGCACACGCTTGTCTTTCCACCCAGCACTCTAACAGGCTGAGACAGGAGGATTACAAGTTGGAACCGCAGCCTAGGTAACTTAAGGACCTAGCAAGATCCTGTTTCAAAATAAAAAGTAAAACAAGAGCTGAAGATGCAGCTCAGTGTGAAAGCCATGGGTTCAACTCCCAGTACTGGAAAAACTTGCAGACCACCAGTCTCTTCTTCCCAGAGTTGACTGTCTGGGGCAGAGTCTGGGTGGGGCCTATTCCCCTTCTCATGCCCCCAAGGCTGTGTATGGCCCAGCCACAGTGACATTCATCCCCCGGTGGGTCTGGCCTTGGTCCTCACAACCCACCGACAACAATGAATGTTGATTGTGACCTTCACTGTGGCCTAAGGGGCGGGGTGTGTCGGGGGACAGACTGGTTACCCCAGATCTGGAAGGTGGGGCTCAGGACAGGAGGACGGCAGTTCCAGGCCTCGGGGTCCACTCAACGGTCGATGGTTTGCCTGAGTCCTCCAAACTCACCGACAGGTTGAATGTTCCCCCAAACCCTTTGCAGCATCTCAGGGACCTGAAGAGGGGTGCAGCTGGGGGCAGGGACCCAGGCTGGGTGATGGGGACCAGAGAGGGGTTACAGTTCCTTGATTCAGTAAGACAGCAAGCAGTTATGACTTGCCAACTGCATGCCACTACATCTGGGACAAGCAAGAGAGACAGTGACAGGCAGTATTCTGGTATTGGAAGGAACCCCCCCACCTCCTGTGCAGCCGCACCCCCCATCCCCCCACACCCAGTTTAGGAGTCTGAGACTACAGAGTCTAAGGAGGAGAGAGGGAGGAGAGATTTTCCAGAGGCCCCAGGATGTCTGGCAACCGTCCTGCTCTGGCCTTGGGACATGGAGGTACTGGGAGATAAACAAGTCATTTTAATACAATGTAATCCTTTCCTGCAGCCCTGATAAACAAGCTATTTTAATACAATGTAGTGCTTTCTAGGTTTTCACCTGTGCTGGGCAAGGTTGTTTATGAATACCTAGCAACTACCCGGAGAGATCGAGAGATCGTTGGAGAGTCCCCTCTTTGGAGAGTCCCCGATTGGACTGGGAGGACCAGAGAGGCCACCCTGGGTGATGAGGTTAGCCTGACCCTCTGATGTGGTGGGTGCACCACACCGTCCTCCGTGGATTTCAGATTCAGTCCTACTCCAGGGGCTGAGTCCCCACTCCCCATCCACATCCCCAAGTCTTCTGGCTAGCCAGGCCGTGCCAAGGTCTGGGGACTCCTGAAGCCAAGGGTCATATTTCCTGGTGGCAGAGTGAGCGCTTGGATGGCAAAATAATAAAAACCCTAGTCCCTGTCACTGCACCAAAAGGGCACACTGAGCCCCAAAGAAAGCTCCTGGAGTGATCGATCCCAAGCGGATCAGGAACCTCAGGTGTGATGACCTTGGGTTAACCCCACAATGCCTCTCTGCAGCCTGGTGGCACCAACCTGCCCAGCACGGGCTCTTCAAACACCGTAGCCCTGACGTGGCCCTGGAGACGTGCCACCAACCGAGGCCCCTCCCCAGCTTGTGAGCCACCCACTTAGTCCAGTACTGTTCCCAGGACGCTCCCTCCAGTTCCCCCATAGGCTTGCATGGGGGTGGCCCCCAAACTCAACCCCCATAAAACCAGGTGGGGGGGCTATAAGGGAAAAACCACTCTGGTCACATGAGATGGGGGTGCGGGTGTCTTAAGGACACCCCCTCTCCTTTGGGGTGCTGGCTCTCCTCACGGGGTTTTGACTTTGCCCTGTAGAGCGATCAAGGCCCGGCACGCACGAGGTTCACCCACACCTGGGGACGTCAGAGGGCAAAGGGTCTGGCAGGTCAGAAGGCGGGGCGGGGGCTTGGCCGAGGGGCGGAGCTTAGGGCTGAGGGCGGGGCCTGGGCCCAGACTCTGCTTGGGTGGGTGTGGCTTGAGCGAGGGCGGTCCGGGTCCCGCCCAGTCTGCCTGTCTCTTTGTCCGCCTGTGTTGCACAGGCTTCCCGCCCTCCGCATCTGTCTGGGTCTGCCTGTCTCTTTGTCCCCGGGGTCGAAGTCTGAGTCTGACTGTGCCTTCCTGTGACTGATCGGGCTCCCGCGCTGCGCGTGCGCCTGTCTCCTGCTGTTGGAATCAGCTGGGAGCGTCTGGCCCTGCACTCCCGACCTTCCCCGGTACCTGGTGACTGTCGTTGCCTGTCACCCACCCCTCACCCCTTCTCTGAACTCTTTGTGGGGACCTGGGGGGCTCTGGGGGCTCCTGGGCTGGGGTCAGATCCTACCTAGACTCTGCAGTGCCTGGGAGGGAGGTGGGGTTCTGTCTCCTCTCACTCCCACTCGTGGGCCCTGGTGCAGGGCTGAGGCGGCTTTCAGAACCCCACTGGGGACCCCTCACCCCATCCCATGGCAACTGGGAAGGCTGGCCTGCTGCATCTCTTCATACTCAAGTCCCGTACTATCTGTGTGTACCAGAGTGCAGATATCTGTGTGTGTGTGCGCGCACAGCCATGCAACAGCTGGGGACAGGAGATGGGAAGAGTTGTCAGGACTTGGAAGACAAAGAGCCCATTCTAAGGGTGCAGTCACTGGAAGAGCCCCATGGGTGTCTCCACGGGGTCACACTGGTAATGGAGGCTGTGACACCTGTGTGGCCCCATAGGTCCCCACCCTTCCCTCCCAGTCCAGCTCCCAGGCTTCCTTTTCAGCTGTTAGGTCTGTCATGCCGGCCCTCTAACAAGGGGCTCAAGGGGCTTGTCTGGCCCATCGAGTCTTGGGTGGCTGTGGGCTGGGAGCCGCAACTTCCTTCCCCGCCCATCAGGTCTGAGGGCAGGGCTGGAGGGGGTGAGGAGGATTCTGCTTCTCATGGGTGGAAGCTGGGGGCCATGAAGGACCTGGGTTAAAGGGAAATCCAACCAGGCAGTGTCTCACTGCTGTAACCCTAGCACTCTGGGAAGCTGAGGCAGGAGGACTCCCAAGTTCCAGTCCAGCCTGGGCAACTTAGTGACTTAGCAAGACGCTGTCTCACAAAAAAAGATTAAAAAGGGCTGGAGGGCCAGGGATTTAGCTCAGTGGTTTCACCACCTGCTGCACAAGTGCAAGGACCTGAGTTCGATCCCTGGTACAAAAAAGGGGGGGGGGGCTGGAGATGTACCTTAGTGTGAAGGCCCTAGGTTCAATCCCCAGTACCAGAAAAAAAAAGTGGTGAGATCTGGACCCTTCCCCTGAGGCTCCTGGTGCAGGGTGATCCTAGCTCCAGATCAAGCTGGGCTCCATCTGCCTGTGCATGTATCAGTGGGGAACTCTGTCTGAGGTGCTCTGCTGGGGTATTTGGGATTTTGTGGGTGTCTGCCAGTGCAGGTGGGTGTACTCTATAGTAGGTGGCTGTCTCTCTGCCAGGTGTGTGTGTGGATGTGTGCATGTGGGCTTCTGTTTGTGTGTGCATGTCAGTGTGCTGTGGGTGTCTGTCAGGCTAATTGTGTGTAATCGCAGGTTGATGTGTGAGCCAGCGTAGTAGATGTCTGGCATCTATTGTTGTCACTGTGTTTGACAGTAATCTGTGTGTCAGCCATGGATGGTGTTGCTCTGGTCCTACTCCCCACTAAAATGTCAGCTCTGAGGAGCCTGGCTTTTGCCATCATTCACAGCTCTATTCCTAGTGTTAAAACTGCCTGGCACTGGGGCCAGGATGTATCTCAGTGGTGCCGTGCCTGCCTGGCAAGTGAAAGGTCCTGAGTTCAATTCCCAGAACCAGAAAAAAAAAATGCCTGGCACAGAGCAGATGCAGAATAAACAAGTATTCTACTCAGAAGGCTGAGACAAGGGGCCGGGGATTTAGCTCAGTGGTTTCGCCGCCTGCTGTGCAAGCGCAAGGACCCAAGTTTGATCCCCGGCACCAAAAAAAAAAAAGGCTGAGCCAGGAGGATCACCAAGATGGAGGTCATCCTGGGCAATGTAACAACTTAGCAAGACTCTGTCTCAAAATAATACAAAGGGCTGGCGATGTAGCTCAGTGGTAGAGCACTTGCCTAGCACGTGCAAGGGCCTCCGTTCCAGCCCCAGTACTGCCAAAAAAAAAAAAAAGTATTGTGCTGTGGCTAGCTAGGTGACAAATCTATATCCAGGTGCTGCTTCCCTGAGGGGAACACATGCCAGTGTGCCCGTGGTATGTCTGTGTGCATGCCAGTACTGCCATAGGGTCCAAGTGTCTGGATGCAGTCAAATGTTAGGGTAGGTGCCCACAGGTGTAGGCCCCTGAGGGGTTCCTTTATGGGTGACAGTGTCACTGTGGATTCTGGGAGTCCACTGTACCGTGGACAGCTATTAGAGTGTTCTGCTTTGTGTTCCTGGGGGCTTCGTATGTGTGTATGTCAAGATCCCAGTGACTGCTGGGCATGGAGGCACACACCTGGAATCCCAGCACTGGGGAGGCTGAGGCAGGAAGACTGCTGGGAGTTCAAGGCCAGTCTGGTGAGACCCTATCTCCAAAACAGAAACAAAGAGGATCCCAGTGACCTGCTGTCACATGCTGGCATCTCTGTAGGCCTGAGGGGGAGGAGATGTCCTTGCTTTTGAAGGCACATGAATGTGTCTGTGTGTGTCTGAGTTGTGTGGATGATGGTGTCCCTGTGTACCTGTGTTGGCACCTTAGAGGTCTGTAGTTGTCATTGTTACTCTGGGCGATAGTATGTGGGTGACCATATGACTGCGGGCATCCAAGTGTCTGAGTTCTCTGCTCAAGGCTGCCCCACACTGTGCTGCTATGGGTGGAGGCCGCCTTTTGCAGTGTGGCAGTATTTTTAGGGCGTTGTGAGCCTGGACATCCCAGCCCTTGTAAGTGATGTGTGTGCCCACGTGGCCATGTCACTGTGGGTGACCATGTGTGCACGTGTGTGTATCAGCCCTCCTTGGGGTGACAGAAGAATTCATAGGGACAGTATGTGCCTGTGTAGAGTGTGTAGCTCTGGGGGGTCTTCTCTCTGACTGGAGCTTTGCAAGTGAATCTGTGAGTAGCGGGGGATGGGTAGGCAAGGAGATGGGGGCCAGAAGCGGGGCTTATTCCTCGGCCCAGTAACCAATGCGGTGTCCTCCCCCCCAGCGCCCGCTCCAGGGCGAGGTCCCTGTGGAAGGCGCCTAGTCGCTGGAAAAGGGTTTCTAAGGGGTGCCCTGGCCCATTTTTCCTTTTCAGGGCCAGTTTTGGAGGGCGGGCAGCTGTTCACAAAGCCTCAGGTTCGGTCCTACCCTGCAGTAGTCGCCTTAGTGACAGCCTGGGGACAGCCAGGCCCGAGCGCCGTGAACTTGGCTGGGGGCGCGCGCGCGGGCCGGGCCTCTCCCCGCCCTGCGCCCCCAGAACAAAGCACGCGGCCGCCCGAGCTGGGGGGCCTGGAGTCGGGGTCGGGAGTCCCGGGCTCCGCTGCGCCCACGACTCCGTCCCCAAGCGTGCCCCGCGGGCCGCTCCAGCCGCCTGTTCTCGGAGGGCAGGCTGGGGACCCGGAGGCCTGGTCGCTCGGAGAGCCCGGTCCCCCCGCGGTCCCCTCCTTCCCGTCCCCTCCCCGGGCCGCAACAATGGGGGGCGGGGCGCGGGCCGAGCAGGTGCGCGGGGGACCCCGCCCCGCCCGTCCGCCCCCGGCCCCGCTCACCTCGCCGCCCCGCGCGCGGCTCCCGCTCCTCTCCACGCCGCGCCCGGAAAAGCCCCGAGCGGCGCCGGCGCGGAAACTGC